TGAGATGTAGATATATAGGAGAGAAAGAGTTCAGCGAGATTAGCTGGTCACAAGACTGGAGAAGATGTAGAACAGAGGCATGCACCGCAGCTCAAATAGAAAGTTATCGTGACCACGTAATATTCCTCAGGAGCAGAAGCCCAAATTAATCACACTCATGTGTGCAACTTTCCGAAGTTCTATTGTAATGTACATGTAAGTACATATACTAGGCCTATTCAAGATTACCTGAACGCAAAACGCGATTTGTCGTACTACATGTAGTTAGTAGAAAACTCTAAGGAATAACATACATGAGTGTGTGTTGTGTCGATAAATAATGCACATACATGTATACATGTATGTAGCTAGATGTACACCCCCCACACACCTGTACATGTACATTTACTTGCATGTAGTATGTATATGTATCCATGTATGCCCTATAAGTAATAAGCTTGCGTCTTCTCATACCTGAAATATGTGAAAACACCCAGGACATCACGCAACGAGCAATGGAAAGTCAATTTTGTGAAGGCACTTCTTATCCTTATTGAGATATACACTTGCATACGTACGTACGTAAAGGGTACTCCCTAGGAACACATAAATCCCCTCCAATCTCGACATACCCGGCCCATGCTTTAGGTAACGTTTCTGCAAGGCTAATTATTTACATGTAATTATTTGATTACATAGACAAGTAACTGGACTGGCGTTAAATTATACATCAGCTCTAAGGGGCCATTCAAGACGAAAAAAAAAAAGAAGAACAAAAGAAAGAAAGCCTAGACTCGTCTCACTGGTGTCTCACGTGATCACCGATTCCTAAGGAAAGTCGAGTGAGAACTCGTGAGTCAAGACTTAATACAGATCCTTGGAAAATGTAATCTTAGGGCCATTTTGAAGAATTAACTGCGTTAAGCAATAGTCCCGTTAACAACCTGCGAACTGAGAAATTTAGTTTTGGCGTGCTAGATACAGATACCGTTTGTACAAGTTTTATTGGGGTAGCTCAGAGTTTTATGTCCCTGTTAACCTCCGTGTACATGTAGGCGTTCCCAAACACACCCATAAATACATACATGTATCTACCACTGAATAGGATACTGTATCATTACAGCGCTCTGGCCGTATGCGTAATTAATAGAAGTGCGCGCATGCTACTATACCTATTGTATCCGCTTTCTCGCGCGGTACTGTAATTATAGATGTAGTATATATGGTGCGCCCACTCTTAAAGGTAGCGGATCGCGACAAAATATCAATGGCTGATAACTTTGCAACGAAAAATGGTAAAAGAAAAGTGCAATGATAGAACTCTAGTACTAGTGATGAAGTTTAGTTCTATTTGTAGATTCTTGATATCTGTCTAGGTTGTAAAGTTATTAGAGGTTGAAATTGTGTATTTTTGTCTGTAAAAAGTGCCAAGACTGAGCAAAGTGGAACAGTATTATACCCATTTATACCCCCTCAAAAGCGAATTGCGGCAGGAATACAGCAAAGTGGCTAGGATTAAGCCCTCTCATTGGCCTTGGAGTTCACTTTGCAGCCACGATTGTTCCACTCCCAGATACCGCCGTGTCACCTTTAAGAGTGTGCGCACCATATACGCATATTCCATACCTAACCTGTAAGCTCTATATTTGTGTCTATGTATACTAAATGTTCTATATGCCTCGCACGTATATATCATGCACATTTAGAACCCTTTTAGAACCCTTTTATAATTATCATATCCTCGTATTTTATGATAATACTGGCTAGATCAATGGCACAGTCATTTGTATGGATGAGGACAAACGCTGGGCCTAAAGAGAATAGAAAGATAAAATACATGTACATATCTAATAAGTATATAATTATAACCTGCATATGCAATGTGCTTTTATAGTCTTCTGATTGGTTCATTGAGAGATGTTTTTGTTTCACTTGAAACATGTTGTGTTGGATATTAACATAGGGTATTGTGCTGAGTGGTGTTAGAGTGTTAATAGGGTTTCTACTGGTTCTGGGAATCGATAGTGGTTCGATTTTAGCGGTTTGGTAGCTGTTAAAGGGATATACCTGTAGTTTTAACTGGAGAAATTGTCTGACTTATCCATTGATATATGGGGGATAATATATCAGAAAAGTCACATATTGACCAGATCAGACTCGGATCTAGATAAAGTGATGGACTTTGCCTGCCAGGAGGGGTCGAGGGCCGCGCAGCGGCCTGAGAGCCCCGACTGACAGGTAAATAGAGAAATAAGCCGCAAAGCGGTTTGCCTGTATATTGGACTGATTGATATACATATAGTACCGGCCGAAGGCCGGAAACTACTTGTACTTATATATATATATATAGAAATTGACTGTTTCTTGATCATATCAAGAATCCGTATATAATTCGATGTACTCTACACCCGTGGATAATTGTAGTGCAGTATTAATTTATACATGTATTACCCATATACATATTGAGTAAGCTGTATCCCTTAATTAAGCTGTTACTTGAATGCTGCTAACATAAGACATGATAACAGATTCAGGCGCGAGCCTAGGCCTCGCATGCAGGCCACAAAATATATTGAGACATGATACTTGGCAAAGTTATAGTTGGCAGCGCCTTTAACAGCATAAGGGATACGTAGTACTGTATACATATATATACATGTATGTAGTACTGTGGTATTGTCATAAATTCGGAGATGAATATATTAACGCCAATTGTTAGTATGTATTAATATAATACTCACGATCACTGCAGCAGTACTACCAGCAAAGGCGCAAAGCCCTCGTGTAGGCTGTTTTCTAGCATCATGGTGGGAGGACTAAGATTGAGAGTCACGGGGCCGGAGACTTTGCCACTCCCTGTCACGTGCACTGGTCACGTTACTCTCTTTGCTAGCCACCAATCACGGTTACCCACCCCCGTCCCATACATGTACTTGCTACTTGTCGGCTCACCCGGCCCTACTACATGTACGTGTCCATGTATCGGGATCATAATTTTGAGTACATGTACTAGTGTTAGTACGTATGGTATGGGTGCATTTCAATTGGATATAAAGATTTTATAGAAGATAAAGATCGAAATTATTCTCCAAATTAACCTTTATTACGTCCCAAACTGACAAGAGACGGAAACCCACTAGAGATGCATCGATGTTGACATGACGGATAGTACATGTAAAGCTACATGTAGCTTGATCATGATGTTTTGCCATGAAATAAAGTCTATACATACATGTAAACATTTTTGCGTGTAGGTACGTCATGTACTTTCCAATTGATACCACATGTAGGTACATGTATACATGTATGTAATCTACCTCTAATATAATCTACATTACTCGCGTGAGTAGATCTAGAGCGTATTTGCCAACCGTCAATTTCAAGAGTTTACATCCGAAATGGCAACCAGGGCTGTTAATTTTGGATTTCGGCGGGGCGGCGTGCTGTGAGATATGCCAGGAGGATCACAAGTACCCAGTTTGTTATGTAATTACTACCGAAGCTATGTAGTACCGTTAATTCTCGAGAAATCCACTATCCCCGCTTTGCTAAATATTCCGGGTGAGAAAAAGTATGTACCTGCACGAGTCCGTGAAGTTTGATACGCCAATTCGCCTTGGTTCGGACTTACCACATACAAATACGGGGATAGTAGATTATTCGAGAATTAACGGTATCATGGGTATGAATTTTCAGTTCCAACAGCGTATTTCACAGGTAGCGTGATGAATTGTCTGATTTTCGGGGTTATTCTGTCATACCATTAACCAGATCGATTTTGGCCACTGAGGGGAACTGTCAATTTTGCCTCCCGAAACTGTCAAGTTTGAAGTGACATCAATAGTTGAAATTGACGGTTGGCAAACATACTACATGTAGTGTGTTGAGATGATGCATGTACCGGGGGTCAGCCATAAATACCGAGACTCTGATAAGATAAACACACCTATTTCACAGCAAGATTCTCTTATCAGATTCTTCGTATTTACTCTCAACCCCCGGTACAACATGTAGGGTGTAGCAAAAAGTGATAAGACAAAACACACGTTTTGGAGCGAATCAGGAGTTCGATAGATTTTGTTAGAGTCCTACTTGGTTCACGGACGATATCGGGCTCAGGCTCTGATGACAGAAACAAGCTCGAATTGTCTATGGAGATGATGTAGATGATGACAAGGAGAACAGAAGAGACGAGACTATAGGTTACAGGACTTCTTGTGACCTGGTTTGACCCGAGGTCTTGACATGGTTCCACGAACGCCTCACATGCGCCACAACGTGTTCACCACAGCATTCACTGATTGCTTACTGTTAACACCCGGTACCCCTAAATAGCAATGCCGCAAGAGTACAAGGCTCTGGCATTAAGTGAGTGAACTAGATGGGGTGTTGACTGGTGAGGATCCGTTCACACTTAATCCCAGAGCCTTGTACATGTAATATTGTAGAGTACCTACATGTAGAGCAGAGTAGAGTACCGGGTCAACCATAAATACCGAGAATCTGATAAGATGAACATATTTCACAGCAATATTCCCTTATCAGATTCTTCGTATTTACCCTCAACGCCCTACATGGAGGTATGATGTATGTCTGTTTTGCAAGCAAGGCAAGGCCTGTCAACGGCGAGGTCATGCCAAGGGATAGCTTGGCGCATCCATAAATACGCGCAGCAAACACCACAACCTTTGTTCATCATCAACAACCAGTGAAAGAGAGAAGGAAAGGGACTGTTTACATTCTTGTGTACGGAAGACTCATTGCAGCGTCTAGGATTGAAAGCCTGTACTTCACTGAGTATCAACCACAAAACTCCCCTTCCCCTTTCTGCCCGCCCTCATTACAATCTTTCACGTCCCTGCGCTTCACCCACTTCTTCGTAAACTATATTCCATAGCTGGTCCCATCAGTTCACCTTCTTTCCAGCACAACGCGACAAAATCCAATCCAGTTACCCAGTCCAATCTTGTAAAAAAAAAAAAAACCTAAAAATTCGGAGCTTCCCCGCAACACTAGCAGAAATGGCATCATACAATGATGAACAAGTCCTTTCAAAGCTCAGCGCTTTGAATGAGACGCAAGAAGGTATTATGACAGCGGCGCAATGGATCATGTTCCACAGGTATGCGAAAACCTTCAAAGAACGGTTGATGTGTTGAATCATCCATCAACTCCGAGATCGACGGTTGGTGGAAATCGAACGTGGCTAACATTGCGTTAATGTAGACGAAGCGCGAAACGCACCGCTGAGCTCTGGTTGCAACGTTTGAAGGAGTCCACGGCTCACAAGAAGCTAAACTTGATTTATCTTGCAAATGGTGAGAACATCCATCCAGCCATCTCCTTGGAGTACTGACAGGGTTTTTTCTTCTTTCCTCATAGAAGTTGTTCAACAATCAAAGGCTCGACGTAAAATAGACTTTGTCGTTGCTTTCTCTCCGATTATCCCTGAGGCGTGTGAAATCGCGTACAAAGGGGCACCTCCAGAGATCCAAAACAAGATCAAGCGCGTCATACAAGTCTGGCGTGAACGTTCAATTTTTGAGGTTGTTACTCAGGGTACAATCGAGAAACGTTTAGACGGTATTTTTGACTCTTATTCCTTCAGTGCGGATTTAGCTAAACATTCTTAGACGTCGATCATGGCAAGTCAGGTCCTTCTTCTGGCGCAGGAGCTCGTAAGTTTGGTGGTGGCGGACTCTTCGGTGGCTCTCTTGGCGGCGGCAGCCTTAGTGGTGGCGGTACATCAAACGTCCCATTAGAATTTACACCCATAATCAACAGTCACAAGGGCCTCCAGACCAAGCTCTCTTCATCTACAATAGCAGTTGGTATGGCAAACACCGAATACCAAAAACAGTTCGACACCGATACTCTCCCAGTACCCCCGGTATATGCAGCACGTCTTTCTTCCCTACTCAAAACTTTAGACAACGCCCACATAGCTGTGAAAGGAGCTATCGAGGCTCGTGAAGCACATATCCGAAATCTCGAGAAACTCTTACAGGCTAGCAAAAAAGCTTTGGAGATTGAAAAGGACAAATTCAACGATATTACCGAAAAACGACAAAAGACTGAGTCGACCAAGGTGGAGGTTGAAATGATGATTTTACGAGACATGGAAGAATCTAAAAATAATGGCGGCGACGGAATGGATATTAGCCATGGAAATCATACCTCAACTTCACCAGACGACCTTAAATCTCCTGAAATCGAGGCTTTAACACCACCTCATCAAATAAGCTTTGAACCTCCTCCACCGCCATCTGCTAGTGAGGCCCACCATCAACATTCGATAGCTCCGGCAGTACCACCCGAACCTCATGTCTTTCACCAGGGTGCCTCTGAGTTACTCGCCAGTTTATCGGCCCCTTTAAACGGTGGCGGACTGAAGAGAGAGAAAAGAGAGGATGTGAATATGTTTGAAGGTCTCGATGACGACGTGGCAGACATGTTCAGAAATGATGCGCAGATGAGTGGGCAGTCCACAAACAAGAGGATGAAGATTGAGGACGACGATGAATATCATCCGTAAACTTCATGTGGACCTTCTTAAAGACGCTGGATGGATATGTTATGTTTACCGGGTCTCATTGGATTCTGGTCAGCTTTGACCTTTCTTTGTATTCGATTTTTCCACTTTTACTCTCAAGCTAGAGACAAATACATCGAGAACTGGATCCGCATTACTTATTGTTTATGACAATTTATGCCGAATATGGGTACTAGTGTTAGTCATTTTTTCTTTTATTGACTGACTTTCTGTATATCTTGGTATCTAATATCTCTTATCTCTTATAATTAATTCACCTTTTGTAATAGGGCTTATTGTGTAAGAAGTATGCAACAAACATACACCGAGTGACTTTTCATGAATTGATCAAGTAATGCCCAGAAATGCCGCGATCATAAGGTTTACATTTGTCGCGATTGCCAGAATATCTGGTAAGTACTTTGAAACTATAACCTCTATTTGAACTGTAGATACTCTTTAAAGGTTTTGATTCGTTTTTTCTGAGGATTTATGCTTCATGTTAAATTATAAACCCCTTCCTTGCATGGCCAAGTTATTCAATTATGGAGAAAGCTGCTGTACTCTGGTATCGTCAGGGTTCTAACAGGAGGGGCTGAGCCACACTAACGGGCTAAGCTAGAGGAAATGCTGCGCAGAAACTTCCACTGATCAGGATATTAATTGATATTTTTTGAATTAATTAAGGCTCCGTTCGGACCGCCTGAACTGTTGCGGGTTTATATGGTAGAATTAAGTGGGTCCATAACAATGAGGTTTTGGCAACTTTCAAATAATTACCTTGAGGGCTAATTATTGCTACGTTTCTGACCTCTCTGATACGTCTCATACCTAGATCCTCAATATTACGCAGTCTTATAATTTTGTCTTCCGAACTCCATTTAGTTACACCAGAAAATCATTATCTGTCTCATGTTAGTTAAAAACTTTTTTCAATTTTGCGCATTATCATTTCTTCCCTCGTCCGAACGGAGCCTAATACTTATTACACATCATGCATGAGCCATGTGATAGTCTTCTCTATATACCACAAAACTCTACGCGCCCCCGGCTGTAATAGATTCTACAACTTCCGTTAGCTATCGGCGACCTGGGTAGTGAAGTTCCCTGAGATGCCACAAGCGGACAGTTGCCCAATGAGTCTCGGATCGCTATTGCGCCAAGTCAGCGCTGCGCTGTTGTTATGAGGGAGCTCATGAAATCTACAAACCGCAATGACAACTACTAGTACAGTCGGTAAAAACTGTCATAATACTTTCAATAAAATCGAAAATTGAAATGGATATATATTATGAGCCTTGATAAAGATATTTCAGCTTTTTTATTAGCTATTTTTGGGTAGTAAAGTCTCAGGACATACATGTATGTTATTGGTAGCTTGATGTTGTCCAGCATCTTTCCACTATCATAACAGAATTTTTAGCTTCCGATTTCCGGCATCTAGTTGTGATCCAGTCACAGGTATCCAGGCAACAACCTGGAAAACATCCCGGACAGTCGATACCTGACCATCTAATGGACACTGCTCTGATTCTACGTACCGTAACGTACATACGTAGCGGGAGGCCATAGTATATTACATAATATTTTCGGGTGCCAAAAATAACCACTTCAGGTCAGAATAACTCAACAACCAGGAGAGTAATTTTAAGTCTCAAAGAATGGACTTACCCTTCTAACCTCGAAGGTATCGATGTGAGGTTTCTTCGCAGAACAGTTTTGGTTGCTATGAGTCTCACGAAGGTGCCAGTGATCGGTTATTTTTGGCACCCGACAATACATGTACTCTAGTATGTTCATGTATGTAGCTGCGTTTACACAACTACAATGGCGGAAAATTGAGTGTGATTAGAGTAGTAGCAGTCTTGTAGTGATGCGGCTTTTTATCAGCATTACTAGTACGCTTGCTTATTCAGCTCGATTTAATTCGGTATTTGGGTGAATACTATATTTGCAAACAAAGGTTATTTCGTGCAAATACGCTATCTCAAAAGAACGGTATGCTCAAAAAAGCCGTAGCAATACTGCTAGCTAGCTGGTCACATAATTGAGTTTCTGTGACCGCGCTACCAGCATAAGGTCCACCATGTCCACGTAGGAGATACATGTAGGTATGGGACTAGGCTAGGCTAGACCTACATACATGTACGTACATGCACTCGTACCCACTGGCACTACCATCACATAGACGCTAATCTAGTACCCACTGGCAGCCCATTACGTGAAGCAAGCTGCCACAGTACGAAGCCTGGAGGTACTATGTCCATTGAGAATAATTTGAACTCGCCATTTCTTAATTCTTGAACCTCTTAAAAGCTCCAATTGTGGCCGTGGGCAAATAGATCTGCACTACATGTAACGTATGTATATGTGTAACTCAACATTAATATTTGTAAGCCAGCCTCAAAGGTTTTCACACGTTGCATGCATGTATACCGTTGTAGAATTCCTTAATTCCTAGCTGTCAAAATTTATCAAATATAATGTATATTATAGAAATATGATGTAGACCGGTACGCGGTCTTCATGTCCTTCGAATTCAATTGTAGGGGCAAGGCTAGAGAACACAGGTTTTGCGGAAACAGATTCTACCTCACTGGAGCAGGGACTCTAGACTACTTTCCGGGAATGGTTCGGTCCGATCTTTAGGGCCTAGGGCTGCTATGTTCTAATTTATACCTCTACCACAACGTGGTAGTATACTCTAAATCGTTCGAATCCCGGCGGCCCGATAGTCGCGAAAGAGCTTTAAGCTGACCATTTATCATGATTTGTAGTACGATACCGTACATTATCGCCCCTGAAATCTATTAGACCGTCTCGCATGCATGAAACGAATAACACTGTGTACTCACAGTGGCTTGTTAACGTTAGAAGTAGATCTTGGGTCTCTCCAGCCTTCTAGTAGAAGATGATCTAGGATATTACATATACATTAGCTTATTTCTTGAGGGTGACTGTAAATACGTGTAAAGAAACCGCTCCAAGTATTGTAGGCAGGTATGTACATGTAGCCACATACTACATACTTGTATGTACCATGTTGATGATATCTTTGACTACATGTACTGTATTTACATACCCGCAGGTACAAAATTGAAGTACTGAAGTACAGTACCGTACCTACATCACATACATGTAATTTATATCCTTATGACCTTTATCTACTCGCAATAATGAAGACGTTGGTACAGGGTAGAAACCGATGGCGAGGGCCGGGGAGGGGTGCAGCGAAGTCTGTGTCTACCTACCCAAAGACGGACGCGCTGTTCCACACCCACTATTCGCGGAAAACGATCCTCATTGGACAATCAAAACAACCAATAAAGACGTTGCTTGGCATTGAGCTACATAAAGAGGCGGGCATCCCACCTCCAAATGAAGCTCTTCTTCTTCATGAACTCTCGATAGTTAGATGAAGAACACGTCATCCCTTGTTCGTCGTTGTTGCTGCCCTATACCCAACAAAGCCTCTACGGTCAGCATTCACCCTATTATCCCAGCGACCTGCTGCCTGTCTTGCTGCCAACATGAGCGAGTCCCTTGGGACCTCTCCCCCCAGTCCTGAGCCAGGCCCAAGTACGCCACAACAACATCAGTCGACGCCACACCTCAGGGTACAACACTTGAGTCCCCCCACATCTTATTCCCTGACAGCCACAGATCTACGTCAGGAGTCCGATGATGCTGCTGTGACTTGCATCGTATGCCTCAGCGACCTTCCACAGGACTCTATCCCTGTTACTGGGGAGTACGATCCTGTGGCCAGATTGGTTCCTTGCAATCATGCCATGCATAACAGCTGTCTGGTACCTTGGATGGAGAGGGCCAATAGTTGCCCTATCTGCCGCGCAAGTTTTAATGAGGTCTCGGTTTCAGCCACACTTTCTGGTATTTGCTCTCCCCCCTATAAGAATGTGGGGATCAATATAAATTTTCTAATATCTTCTCACCAGGTCATATTCTCGAAACTTACCCGGTTGAAGATAGAATACAGGTCACCGAGTACGAGAGTCAGACTTTGAATCACGACGAGGAAGTAGAGGGGGCATGTGAAGTTTGCATCTGTGGTAACAACGAAGACGTCCTCCTGGTTTGTGATGACTGTAGCAGATCTTATCACACTTACTGCCTTGGGCTCGATGCTATCCCTCAGCAAAACAGCTGGTACTGCTCTAGATGTTCCGAGAGGCACATAGCGGCCCAGCTCGCTGGTTTTCAACGCTCCGGAAGGAGGAGAGGTGTGAGGACTGTCGGTGAAATTCGCCGTGTGCGACGGCAGAACCAGCGTGATATGGCATCGCGTCAAGACCGAGCTTGGCAAAACGCCTGGCAGCGTTTAGACTCAGACCTTGGAGAGCGTGCATTGTCGGCTGCCGTGGCCGCCGAGCAACGCATTACAAATCAGCGTGATGCCCAAGTGGAACGTATGATACGTCGGCGTGAGGTGGCAGCTGCTCAAATTGGCGAGGGACGTAACGGATTTAACGAACAACTAGCGTGGATGATACCAACCTCGCGGCCTAGAACATTCCCAGATCACCAACAGCCGATCAGTGAGGAAGAGCAATCAGCATGGAGAATGTTTGATATAGCGGAAGGAATAGAAAAATCTCCCTGTAAGAGAAGCAGAAGAAACAGTCAAGAGATAACTAGGTCGCCCGGATCAGATAATGGCGAGAAACCTAGGCGGAAAAGACCGAGAACCAGACGTGACTCCCAATTGATTGATGGGAGCACCATGAACACCGAGGCGTCTTCAGGCAGTTCTACAGTTCCAGCAATACCCGCAGTCCCGTCCACAGCCCCAGCTACATCCGTAGGCGATAGAGAACAGGCAGGCTTTGTTCCTACAGCTTCAGGAAGTTATCTAGAGCATATATTGGAAAGCATTGCAAAATCCGCAGAGACAGCAGCGCCGGATCCCCCTCAGGTAGGGCTTTGGGGAATTGATCTTAGTAAAATGCGACCTTTATCGCCTGAACCATCCAATGCTGCCAGCCCCCGTAGTCGGCCAACTTCCCCAGTTGCTCAATCCCCATACATAATTCCATCCCTCTTGAGAAGTAGGCCACATTCACCTATTGAGACAAGTCAAATGCCACTTTCTCCATCATCCCCTACTCGAAGAATACCAATCATTTCTCACTTACAGCCAGCTCCTACCCGAGCATGGGAGTCATCGTCATCACCGCCCACTAGCCGGGCAAACTCGCCGATACAGCGACAACAGCAACGCACATTCTTAGACGAAGACCCTGGGTCTGATGATGCCCGAGGTGGGGCATCATCTTCTTCTGATACAGATTCAGTTAGCAAAAAGCACCGACATCATCGTAAGCATGGGGGAATACGTCCAGCAATTACACCCGAGGTCAAGGCAGACATAGCAAATATGGTCCGCTCGGTTCTGAGACCTTACTATCCTGAAAAGCTATCGAAGGACGATTTTACTCAAATTAACAAGAGTGTGTCTCGTAAGCTATATCAGCTTGTGGAAGCCGATGAGGACTCGGATATAACAGGTGATAAGGAAAAGTGGATTAAGGTCGCGGAGGAGGAGGTAATGTTGGCTGTTGAATGCCTGTAACCTTTGCATGAATATTTTGTGCATTCCTTCTATTATCTTCCGGATGCCTATCTAGCTAGTTTCTTTATCACATCCTCTGTTTTCGTTTGTCTATTCCTTGGGTCCCCTCTTTGGGGGTCACGTCATTTGGCGCGGAGTTTAGAGATTTTCCTGTTTGTTCATAATTTCTACATTTTTTACTCTGGGTAACTGTTTGGTTTCTCTTGAGAATTCCTTTTTCTTAAAAGTGTACTACTTCTATTTTCATTGGAGAGATGGAAATTGGCGTCTTGCGAGACAAGGGAAGATATTTGGGATCGATGTGCGAAATCCTACCTTTAACGATAACTAACTCTCCAACGAGCTCTAAGTCAATACCTAACTGATCCAAAAGGTATTTATTCGCACCCACTAGTGCAGTTATGTGTTGACCAATTTTTCAATATCGCAGATCCCAAAATTATAACGGATATACTATTGCTAGAAATACTAGTTTGCGTAGTAAATACCTAGGAGAACAGGGTGAATCGGAACACAACTCCGAACATCCTCCTCGGGTTTTTGGGGTGGAATATCTTGACTCCGTCCCTGTATTCTCAGTAATCATCTAGCTGATTAATGTTTTCAGACTTGTTCACGAGTATACCCAACACCCTGAGCAGGAAACACGAATACATATGGGTACCTGGAATGGGGAATATTCATGAACTATCACTCGCTAGAAAACCCAATGTGTGCTAGTGGCATTACTTCTTAGTAAAGTCATCCATGATACACAGTCTTAGACATATATTATTACTCCGAGCCCTATAACTTCTTTATCATCGGCTAACTAAAGCATTGAGGCCATAGGATAATTTCCCCTTTACTAATAATTATAATTAACTCTACTAGTCCTTCTTAGGGAACCCCCAACACAGACCAATGTTTAGCCTATTGGGTTATTTTAAGGGTGTCTCTCATGAGTTTTGCTAGTTATTAACACTACGAGTCCATTGGGCGGAGAGGCGATTTTGTGGCCTCAACTTGAATTGTTTCCAGATTTGTAATCGAGAAGAATACTTTTGGAGAATTCCTTCAGGCTTTTTACTAGCACGGGGTTCATAAAGATTACATGCAGTAGCTATCAAACTTGAGAACGCTAGTTCTAGTGCCCCTAGCTCCAAACATAGCATACCGCATCCAATTCTCTATCCTCCTTTTGCATTCCTCGAGATTTGGATTTTAATGAGTGGGTTCTGGTTTCGAATTGATAATACGAGTGGGTCGAGCCAAAACTTGTACTTAAGATCGAAATGATGGTCTTAACTTTCCTACCCCGATCTCGAAATTTGCGAAGAGGGGGTGACTCAATATTCAGTGAGTTATAAGACCTTCATTGGAGGCTTCGAAGGAGTCGATAGAGGATTTCGAGAAGTTCCACAATTAATGAGTTAAGGCATATGAGCAATCTTTACCTCCTTCATAGAGCTACGCTCTAGGGGCCGTGGAAATGTGTACCTAGAATGTTCAGTAAAGTCGTCGGGAAAGTCGTTTCTGGGGTTGTAATTTTCGCTGGGTAATGTCAATATTTTGGTAGAGGGAAAGTCGTTTTAAGGGAAATTGGACGACTTTACAGACGTCTTTTTAATGATATTACCGACGACTTACTGATGCCTTTACCTGTCACGCTTCTGTCACTCATTTTGGGCGTATTACCAAGGGGGAATAAGTTTTGGCCACCGGTAATGCTTCACATGATTGACCAAGGCCACCGCCAATGAAACGAATCATCACAGAGCATCCTACTATTATACCTGAAGCATCAAGTCAGAATACCCTACAAGTATATGCCAAACAATGGATCCACCAAAATGAAATTGTATTCCCCAACTGTTACAAGCCCATTGATGCCAGATACCATTTGATGACCCCACCGAAATATTCTATTTGGGGACAACTATCTCGATATCTAGAGGAGGGGCTTCAACGGAAAACGTTGATTTTCCGGCGGAAAGAAGAAAACCCCGGAAACGGTCAGTAAAGTCGTATTTTATTGCCTTTTACATGCCTTTAGCATGCCTTTAACATGCCTTTAACGGGGAATGTCGTCAGTAAAGTCGTAACTTATTGCCTTTAACAGGCAAATACATCAGTAAAGGTGTCGGTAAAGTGTTGGTAATGGGACAGGAATGCCTTTAACACAAAGTAATGCGGTTATTGCATCAAATAATGTGTATCTCGCAACTTTTTGTATGGAAAACGTCAAAATTGATGCATTTCCACGGCTACTAGAGACGTGAATCCCGAAGCAAATACATACAAAAGTACTCAAAATTGTTAATCCTTCTGATTTAACTGTGATTAGAGATACTGACAGCAACTGGGAAAGGTTGTATTTATCCCAAACAAACCAGAATTTATATGTTACGTAGTACTATCCCCTAATCGATAGATTCTGCGACTGATAATTTGGTGATGAGGGCATGATTTTGTTAGTACAAAGAACAATAGACTCGCCCTATAGTTGCTATAAGGGGTACAGAATTGTCACAAACTCGTCCTTTCATAGAGCGCGCGTGTCTTATAGACAGGGCGAACTTGTACCTATGATGCCTAACATAGGCCGAGAACTCGGACCCTTATATGTAGTTATTTATATACTTTTTCACCCCACAAAGAAGAGTCGGCAATATTGAGGCAGTAAAAACGGGCTTCTATCCTTGCCTAGGAATTATATTACAATCGAGTGCGAGCCTATCTTCTGTATGCAACAAGATGAAGGGTAGTTAAGTCCTTTGTTGTCGCCTAACTTTGATCATATACTATTTGTTGCTTTAGTAGGCACTTTAATTATCTCTGTCCCGGAAATATATTCCGAGTGACCTTCTATGATGGTACATAAATGCCCAAACACGAAACCTATGCTACAAGCATACGATAACTTTCTAGGGGAAATAGGGGGAGCTAAACGCCAATAATGCATGCCGCCTCCGTTTTTTTTTTTTTTTTTTTTGCTGCTCTTCCAGCTACCAATCTTGACATGGACCACTGCCCTACCAATAATAAAATAAACAAAAAAGAAAAAAAGCACTCGCCCAATTTACAATGATAATTGTCTACTATGTGCTGTGGTTTATTCCGAATATTCATGCTCTTTGGGGGCCTGCCACCTCTCAATATGACCACGAATGAACTCGTAGACCATGAATGTCACAGCCTAATGATTCAGTTTTAGATACTAGCTTAGAAAAGGATAACGATCTAGGTTTACCTGTCCTGGGGCCACCCGCATGATTCTAGGAGTAATTCCCTGGTAAAACGCCCGGAATCCTTCATGTTTGAACATGTCTTTCGAAATGGCAATAATTCTTGATGCCGCGCTCTCGCCCGGAATGGCTGTTGACCGCTGAAGACGGGTCTCTACATAGGGTATAAGTATCCGCCAGTATACTGCTAGTTAGTCATGGTATCAATTGGCGCATTCGATAGAGGTCCCATAGCTCCGGAAATGAGACCCAATACCAGATGTTGGTAACTGGGCAGCTCTTTCAGGTCGGGTTGAAATTCCTGTGCAAATTTCTTCATGTATGTGTAGGCCGTGAAGTTCACGGCCTGATTAGTTGCCTGCCTAACTGCAGTAAGTGTAACTCCACGGTAAAGTGTGAGAAACCCTTCCTCGCGGACAACGGTGTAAGCGGCATGTGCAGCATTACGATACTTTGGAATATCAAGAGGGTCTGCCATAGAGTGATGTTGCGCTTGTAACCGGATCTTAACAACCTCCATGGGGGTTACAACGGCGACGGCTTCCGTTGCTCCTGCCATGAGACCGGCTATAGGTAGCTTTTGTTAACATATGTATCCGATAGATCTGAGGTGCAAAGATTTTGCATACAGAGAAACACAGCCTTCGCCGAGATAGTGCCAGTATCGGGATTAATCTTGGCCAAACTTTTGTAGAACTCGAAACTCGAGAACCGGATGGCCATTTTAGGCACAATTCCTGTAACAACGGCTCCAAGACCTTTGTAAAGACCTAATGGTGTTTCCTTCTTGACAATATCCTTCCCAACAGCAAAGAATCCTTTCCGTTTTACTCCTGGAGCACGGTTACGCCGAGACAGCTGCATCCGCACCTGTGATTTGATTATATATTAGTCGGGAACATCTCTATTTCTATAAATAAGATTTGATGGACCTTGATGGTATCTAGAAAAGATCGTTAGCGATAACCTATCGTAAAATGACTTAGAAATCTTACCCAACGGGTGGCATGCGAGCGCCTCACAGAGACCCGCTCCTCCACCAGCTACAAGCACCTCATGTCAGCACATGATGGTAAGGTCACGGATTTATCGTTATGGGTAATAACCAATCAAAGTGACTGCCATCGTAGGTCTTTTCTTCTGTTCTGCAGGAGGCATGGCTGTTGATATCTACGAACAGATTGAAATATCAGGGAGTACTGGACCCAAGTTGGACACTTTAATGAGGACTAAAAATTGTTGACGGTAAGGTACTGAATTATAGAGGGGACAAGGCAGAGAATAAGAGGTGTGACAGGCTTGTTGGGGGGATTATAAGACTTGAGTGAGAACGGGTGAATGTGAGTAACGAACTAGAGGAAGGTTGGAGAAAAGGCTTGATATTGTAGATTCAGATCCACTTTCCAGAGCCGAGGATGAACCGAGAGAGATCGTTCATTCTCCCTCTCTTTCCGGGGAATGGAAAACAGGGCCCAATAACTTCACATTGCCCTGCATCAGTTGGCAATGATCTTTTCTTTTCCCGCGCATCTCGTGGTCATGTTCCCCAATGTGATCCCCTCTTCTCTTTCAGTTCCCCTTCCTCACCTCCGGAATCTGAGACTGAGACGGCTTGACCAAGTTGCTTCGGGCCAGCGGGGTGGGAGGGGGGGGGGGGGCGTGATTATAATAGCAACTAATAATGGTATAAAGCACCCCGAGACGTCACTGTAGTTTTCCAAAAACAAAGTCAAGACATCCAACCCAAAAGAGGTTGTTTCTACGGCCCGAGGTTGGGTCCGGACGGGCGCGATCGGAATTTACCATGTTCATGCACGCGCTATCACATGGTGGGAAGGATTTTCGGCGAAACCAGGAACGAAGAAACACGAACAAAGAACAAACAAATGCATGTGCCTGTCTACTCTACAGGCTAGAGGAGGTGACTGTGGGGTATTTAGGATATACAAGTATTCGGGAGAGTTCACAAGCGAGATCTCTGGCTCCTCGGAATATTTATGAAGGCCAATCCAATGTCACGCGAGCTTAGACAGGTATGTACTTGTGTTTTTCCCCAGAGGGAGTCTTTTCTTTGAGCCTCATAATAACTTTACATGGAACGGACTGTAAGATCTGTAACCATTACCCTCCACCCTACACCCCGCACTTGTATCAACATGCCAATAGTGGCTTACGAGAAACAACCTAGCAGCAAATATGTAGCTTCTAACGTGCTGCACAGCGAACCGTTATGATGGTAGCAATAATATTAGAGTACGGTACTGTAAGTTCCCCTAACTAGCCTTAATTCATACCACTGGATAACAAACATGACCGACCATACTCCACCATCAAAATGGTCGTTTCGGGTCTGTCTGGACTAGAGAGTTGGGACGAAGCTGAGACAAGTTTACTCAGGGCTCTCCCTGGCAGATAACGATGGTGGAGGCTGAGACTCGCGGGGGATTCGAATTGTGGCGGTGCTGTTGCCAAGAGCCACAGAACACCCCCCTTCAGTCTCTCGCTCCCCCGTCCATTTCCACCAGCCCGTTTTGACTTCTACCTCCTATTTCAGCTCTCATCAACAATCATCAACTTATTTCAACTCTCACCTCTATCATTATTATTCTTCTTGGAATCATTAAAGCCACTTTTTGTCTGCTACAATGGCTGGCCGTTTTGTAAGGTCTTCGAAGTTCCGTAAGTTAACTTAGTAAATACCACCGGTATCTCCGTGTAAACAAAGCTAACGCACGTGGCCAGGACACGTCTACGGAAAACCAACTCGAAAGGTATGATCCTCCATCTAGATATCTCTATAAAAATTGATATATAACTAACATAATGCCCATCAGGAACAATGCTACGATAACCTGTAATGCACCCTTCTCCTCCCTTACTTTCACCCAACTCGGCATATTCCTCTGACACCTCTCTTTGTTGTAAAACAGCCACATATCAAAGAATGCTTGGGACTCCAACATAATCAAAGCAAACCCACAGTATCTTTCCGTCAACTGGGAATCCGGTGGTGGTGGGGCCTTCGCAGTCATCCCGCTTTCCCACCGCGGACGACTTCCGGAACAAATCCCTCTCTTCCGTGGCCACACTGCCCCTGTTCTCGACACGGATTGGTCCCCATTTAACGACTCGTTGATCGCCTCTGGTTCCGATGATGGCAAAGTGTTCATATGGGCTGTCCCGGAGAATTTCACTCTTCTCACAGATGACGAGGATGGCCCGAAGGACGTAGAGCCTATTTCCAAGCTTTCCGGTCATCAAAGGAAGGTTGGGCATGTCCTTTTTCACCCTACTGCTGAGAACGTGCTAGCAACCTCCTCGGGTGATTACACCGTGAAGTTATGGGATATCTCCACGGGAACCCCTCATTACACCCTAAAGCACAGCGAAGTCGTTCAGTCTATGTCCTGGTCTACTAATGGCTCTATGCTTGTCACCACGTGCCGTGACAAGAAGCTTCGTATCTGGGATCCACGACAGGAAACTGCCGTCCACGAGGTTACTGGTCATACGGGCGCAAAGAACAGTCGTGCTGTATGGATGACAGGTATTGGGGAAGACAAGATAGCCACTACTGGTTTCAGTAAAATGAGTGATCGCCAACTAGGACTGTGGGATTTGAGATCCCTTACGGATGGCCCCTTGAATGGGTTTGAGATGCTGGATACCATTTCGGGGGTGTGCATGCCATTCTGGGATGAGGGTACCAAGTGTATCTACTTAGCCGGGAAAGGGTGAGAAACACGCAAGGAGTCATGAAGAGTAAAAAAAAAGAAAGGGGAAAAAAAATGCTGACTTTGGAGCAGTGACGGAAATATTCGCTACTTCGAGTACTCGAACGACGAGTTCATTTTCTTGTCAGAATACAAGAGTGGAGACCCTCAGCGTGGTGTTGCCTTTCTGCCTAAGCGTGGTGTTGCTGTAAGTTCCGAAAATCTCTGAAATGCCGAGTGCTCATGCTAAATTTGAATAGGTTCACGAGAACGAGGTTATGCGAGCATTCAAGACCGTCAACGATAGTTACATTGAACCAATTTCTTTTGTTGTTCCTCGTAGAGCTGAGACATTCCAAAGGTATTATTCCACAGTTTGGGGGCGCACATATTAGATATACTGACAGCTATTTGTAGCGATATCTATCCTGAAACGTATAGTGGGGAATCGGCTCTTACGGCCGAGGCATGGTATGGAGGAGCCGATGCCGAGCCTAAAATGTTTGACATGGAGACACTTTACACACCTGAAAGTCTTCCATCCTCGGCTCCTAAAACACCTATCTCCGTTGTTGCAACAACCCCAGCACCGACCAAAACAGCTGTTGCTCCCCCGAAGCCCGCTGCTGTCGAATCGGCAAACCCTAAACCTGTGTCGCCTAAGGAAACCCCTACTCCTACAGAAAAGCGTGTCCCCAGCCCGATCCTCGTTGAGACCACGGCCAAAGTAGCCGACAAGAACCCTGAGATACCCAACCCAGCTATCTCACCTACAAAGCCCAGCATTACCCCTGCCCCGGCTCGGCAGCAGATTCAGAGCCCTGCGAGTGTGCCCCAATCAGCAACGCTTCAGGCACCCCCTCCGACGCCTATGGATACAAACATCGTAGAGCAACTTGCGCGTATTACAGCATTATTGGAAACCCAAAACAAGACGCTCGCCAGCCAAGACAAGCACATTTCTGACCTAACCAAAGAACTGGATGCACTGAAAAACAAGGTCGACGCCAGAGGCAGCGAAGAAAGTAGCAGAAAGGACGAAATCATCAGAAAGCTTGAATTGGAACTGGAAGAGGCTAGATCCTAGTATATAGCCGTGAGATATCTTTTACTTGTACTAAAGGGGAAATGTCAAGGGGCAAGGGTGGTTGTGAAAGAGGGAGATCACCGAGTGATGGGTTGTGACGGCAATAAACAAAGAAACTCCAATCAAGTATCCGGGGTTACTTGTTTACATGTGAGCGCTGCAATAAGCTAACGATAAAAGGAAAGCGTAGGCGAGATGATTATATGTTTCTCTTTTTCTCTTTTTTTTCCCCCTTTCTGCTCTATATTACGACTGTTCAAGTATGTATCCTCATAGGTCCTGTTCGTTTTTATGTTTATGTTTTCATGAGCGCATTGGCGAGCGATGGAGGGAGGTTTGCGTTGTATTTCAGATCGGAAAGGTTTTATTTCATTTTATAGTTGTTTAGAAAAAATATCAAGATCTTATTCACGAGGTTTTCTGGATGTTGCTCTGTGAAATTAGTGAATATATGGCCTTTTTGCAGCTAATAACAATATTTGTAACATCTGCAAAGGAAATATATGGATCTAGCGGGGTTTAACACTGGAAAGAGTAAGACCTATTATTCCACAGGCGCCAGGCACGATGTCATCCGCACAGCAATAAATGCCATTCCTATCCACAAAAAAAAAAAAAAAAAAAAGAAAAAGAGAGAAAGAAGAAAACAAACCTCCCAAACACCCCAGACAAGACCTCACTACCCGCCACCCCTTGGAGCCCCTCATCTCCACCCCCCAACTCTCCCCTCGTCCCACCTCTCCTTCCTCTCCCTCCTCAAATGATACGTCTTCCTCAGCGCTCTATACTCCCTCACAAACTCCCCCACATCCCTGCCGTCGCCGCCTCCTTCCTCCAAAAACGACTCCGCCATCGCCTCGGCCACCGCCTCGGCGTCCGCCACCGCGTTCACGAGACGGCTGTACAGCGCGGGCGACGAGAAGGGCTGCAGCGACTGATACATCTCCTTCTCTCGCGCGCGCCACTCGCGCTCCTTCATACGCGCGTCGAGCAGCGCGCGCTCGGCGCCGTCGCGCGCGGTGTGCAGCCGCGGTTCGAGCGCAGATAGGCGCGCGGCGAGGTCGGCATTGCGGTGGAGGGCGGCGGTGAGGGTTGCTTCGTGCTGCTGCGCGTGCGGGTGTGTGCTGGCGAAGAGGGCGTCGAGGAGCTGCGGGGAGGAGAGGAGGTGTGTGAGGTCGTCGCGGCTGTGCGGCGGGGGGGGGGGGGTTAGTAAAGTAAGATGTGCTTAAGGGGGAGTGGGGTGCGGGGATGTGGGGGGTAATACGATTTGGTGTGCAGTATGGAGGGGACGAAGGGGTCGGATGAGGGGGGGGGCGGCGGCGGGGGTGCCGGACTGGAAGACCAGACGGGGGGAGGGGAGAAGCGGTGCGGGAGTGCGTGGCGGAGGTGGTGGGTTTGGGCGGGGGTGCTGGCGGGAGCTGGTCAGGGGGGTAAGAGCTGGTGGTGGGTGTGGACATGGTGCACGTGGGGGTGGTTTGGGGGGGGGGGGGTGAGGTCGTTTCCGGGGAAGTGGGAAGTTGCTGGGTGGCTGGCTGGCTCGGTGGCTGACTGGTGGTGTTTGAAACCCGGGGTGAGATCAGATGACGAGATGGTGGATGAGCTGTGTGGGTGAGCGGTGGATGTGTGTGGTTGTGTGGATGTGTGGTTGTGGTTGTGTGGTTGTGTGGTTGTGGATGAATGATGGGATGGCCGAGGTATGATTGTGGCCGAGGTGTGGTTGTGGTTGTGGTTGTAATTGTGGTGGGGGGGTTCGGGGGTGATGATCGCTCGTGCAGGTTTTCGTGCTGCGTGTCGCTCCCGGGCGGGGCGATCGAGTGAGGTCGTGATAAGGTGTGGCTGTAGCAGCTGGGGCCAAGGGTGCGATGACGAGCATTAAGCTTATCGCCTGTTGCCCTGGCAACGTGTCTGCCTGTAGCTCTGTGCTACCCGACAGACCGACAGACAGAGACACACACACACACATGTGCACTAGAGCACATGTGTGTGTGTGCACTTCACTTACCCTCCCACGACCACCACCACCACCACCGCAACCCACCGCTACAGTGTGTACCACTGCACTACCAACCCCCGGTACCTACGCCTACACCCCAGCTCAAACCACCCTTGACATTCTTTTTCCCACCTCCCCACCTTTTCATTTTTCGCCTCAACAAACGAACGAGCACCGGTCATTTCTATTTCTCCCGGTGGAGTACATACACTAACAGCGGGTTGTGTCTGGTTCTTTCTCTCTCTCTCTCTCTCTCTCTGTCTCCCTCTAGCTTTCTGTCTCTCGTTTGTCGTTTCTCGCGAGACCCAGGTCAGCGATTCCATTCCCTACCCCGGCAATTTACCTAGGTAGACAGCGCTCGAAAGGGTACTTCCCCGCCTTGTTCATCCGATGCTGTAGCACACGCTGCTACATAGCTGCTAGCGAGACTCCGCAATTTGGGGAATGGGCGTGTGAATGTGCACTTCTTACTTCTTGCAGTATGTACCGTGTGTAGATCAGGACAACAACAGAAAAGTGAACAAATAAAAATAAAAGACCAACGGGAAAAACAAAACTAAACACGGAGGTGATAGCTAGATCCAATTTCAGCCGCTTTTCCTTCCACCACCAATCCAGCACCACCTTCCCCCCCCCCCCCCTCCTTTGCCTGGTAGCTAAAGTAGCTAGAGTATGTAGTTTCCAACAACCCCCCCCCCCGACCCCGGTTTATGATAATCCAGCACACCCGCTCACTCACCTCACTCTCTCTCTCTCCCGGTAGGTACAATACCATTTGCCCCATACTGTATCTACATACTGTCTAAGCTACCTACATACATACATACATGCCACATCCGTTACATCCGTTACACACAGCGCGGCCATATATTACAACCATAAATAATACTCTACTCACGTCTACTCTATTTTAAATTCCTTTTCGCGACGTTTCGGGCTCCGCCGCTCTCTCGCTCGCTCGCCGGGGTAAATGCCGGGGGTGGTAGCGCTAGGTAGTTCCCGGTGCCCCGGAAAATCTGTGGAACGGTACTTGCCATATTTCAACATTCATGATTCAAAAAAAAAAACAGCCTCTGCTTTTTTTTTTTTTGCAGAGAGGCCAGGGGAAGAGGGGGGGGGGGGGGATATCCGGGTACAGCAGTATGATTTGATGATGAGGAATCAACATTAAAGCTGTTTTTACAGGTAATTTTACTTGGTACATAGCAGATGAGAAGGCTAGGTGCCAACTAACTAACGGTTCGGGGTGAGAATCTTCCGGGGCGGAGGTCGCGTCGGCGAATGTGCACTCGGGTTCCGGGTTACATGTATGGTTCGTGAAAATCGGGTCACGGGATCGATGTCTTACCTGCGAGTGAGTGGATGAGTGAGCGAGTGAGCGAGTGTGGTGAATGGGCAAGGGTTTGTGTGTTTTTCTCTGTTGCTTGGTTGCGTTGGGGTTGACTAAGCGGGGGGTCAAATCGGTCATTGATACTCATGTCGCTGGCTGGAGGACCAGCCAGGCCAAGCCAAGACGGATTGCGGGATTCCATGATTTCTTTGCGCCCGCGGGGATTTGACGGGAGGTTTGAGCTGTGGGGGGGGGGGGGGGGGGACTTCCGTGATTGAATTTTTTTTTCTTTCCTTTCGCTTAGATTTAACGAAACCGGATAATCAATCAATCAATCTACGACGACAAACTAGCTGTAGAGCTCGATCCGTGGCTCTTGCCCCCGGCCGGGCTATGTAGTTATCATGCATCTGGATTATTCTCACTACTGACTAACTAAGCAGGCCAGGCATATTTGGTCTAGATATTATTATAACTACTATCTGCAAGTACCGAAAGTACTCTACTTCCTTCAGGAACGAAACAATCAGGTCCGCAGATTGCAATTAAATGCATTATCAACCGTACCTGCCGATGTGGCCTTGTTATTTTACAAAGCACCACCACCTGGACAGCCAGAAAACCACGGTTCTAGACAAAGATCAGCGCCGCAAAAAGATTCTTTATTGACTGTACCTGCCGGTGGCCTTCTTTTTTTACAAAGAAACCACCGTTCTAGACAAGATCGGCACAGCCAGTGAATCTCTAAGCAGCGCCGGTCAAGCTTTTCGTCGACATCGACCATTCGCTTGCTGAAACGCCGCAGGTGACAAAAAAGAAAGGGGGTGTTGTCTCAATGGATTTATCTCTGCAGCTCCATTGGTCAGTTTCGGTTGCGGGGGAGGGGGGAAATACGGGTTCAGACGAAAGTATTAGGCATTGCATTCCTTTGAGTTTAGGCAACAAACAGGGCACATCTGGTACCTGGAATGTCATCAGTTGCGAAAAGGCCTAAAGGCCACGTTGTCCATGCCATCTAAGCTTATTACCACATCTGCCTATCTACGAACCCATCCATCCAGGGATCTGTTCTATCTCGGATGCTGAAGGGAAGGAAAGAAAAAGCGACGCCTGGTCAATGATCGGAGACCACTGAATGACGTCATCTAGATCCGCAGGTCCCCCCTAACCCCAACCTTAATATTTCCTCGGCGGAGTGGAAGGGCTGAGACGATGAAGTTTGGTTTTGCGCTAGTGGGCAGTGGTGGTTGTTGTGGGTTGTGGTTGTTATGGCCCAAAGCTTAATTAATTGTTGACCTTCCTACTTGGTTGGGTAGATGGGATGGGATGGAAACCGTTCCCTTCCCTCCACGCAAGCATTGCAATGGAAGCTTAAACCAGCAGCAGCAGCAGCAATAGCGGTGGCCCCATATTGGATTTGATATATATTAGTTTTCTTTTTTTAATAAAAAGCTACACGTATACCTACCTACCTACGCCCCAAGTTAATGTAGCTAGGTAAGGTACGGACGGTACCTACATGTATACCCACATGCTAACTGGCTGGCTGGCTGGGCCGTTTTTTTATATTATACTCATGGAGCTAAGGATCCGAAACATCCCCAGGGGAAATTTCCTGGTCCGGGGAGGGAGGAGGTGGGGGGGATGGGGAAGATAGAGATAGAGATAGAGGGAAAGTCAAAGAAGAAAAAAGCATGTAAAAAAGAAAGAAAACGGAAAGAGAAAAAAAAGAAAAAATGGGGGAGGGCTAGAGGAGGAGCCCAGTAAAAAGTGAAGTGAGTGCTGCTGCCTCCGTCCATACTTACACCGCATCAGGAAAGCTGTCAGAAATAAAGTGCATACATACATACAACTCCTACTCTACTCCTACTCTACTATACCCCCGCAGTCGGCCGGCATTCATTCACAGTACCTACATGTGGGTAGGTAAAAAGTACCTAGGCCTACTGTACCTACTCTACCCCTAAACAACCAAATCAACCAAACCAACCAGGCTACAGCAGAGCAGGGTATGGCAGGGCAGGGTAGAGTAGTAGGATAGGGCAAGGGTAGGGTCATGTTGCCCTTCCTTGCTGCTGATCGTTCGAAAAAACCTACATTGAAATATATATCATTTTAGCCGCCGCGCCGGCACCGGGGGGTGGTAGGCCAGGCAAATTATACTCTAAACTACATGTAGCTGTCTACATGTTATATATGTGTATGCAGCTACATTTGAAGAAACCTGGGCCGTCCACAAATGCCCCCGGGCGGAGCTACCCCAGATATTTGTGTTCACGATCGGATTTGGGGGGAGGGGAGTAGCGTGGCTGGCTAGGCTGGGCTGGGCTGCGCTAGGCTAGGGGCCATTTATTTTTTTTTTCTCACCCCTTCCGCGCGTGTGTGGTGTGAGTATGCGGGTGTGTGTAGGTGTGGGTGTGTGTGCGACCCTTACCTGTTTGTAGGCAACTATAATGTAGCTTTTGAGGGTTGAGGTTGAGGTCGCCGGCCGCCGGCCGACGCCGCTATCACCTTCACTACCACCACCATCTCCTCTGACCAGGCCGGTGTCTAGCTAGCTAGCTGATTGATAGGCAGCAGCTGGCACCGGTACATCTTTGTTCCTCCGGTGAGATAGATGCACGCGCATACATCCATACTGTATACTACTATACAATATGCGCAGTACTGGGGGTTCCTTATATGACACAGATATGGGCCAGCAGTAGTGGCTAGCTAGTAGGCAGATCAGAGCAGAGCAAGAGCAGGGGCGGCGGCGGCATCAACACAAGGCAATAAACAACAACGTACTAAACCTAGAGAATAAGATAAGAAGCAATAAAAGAATCGGAAATAGAAAGAAGGAGAGAAAAAAAGACCCGATAAAGATTTCCCCTGTATTGCTAAAGAAGAAGGAATATGATGGCGATGATGATGTGATGAGGAAGTAAGAAGAGATACAAGAATGAAGAAGAAAAGAAAGAGGGAAAAAAAGAAGAGAAAAAAAAGAAGTCCCAAAAATATACCAGTGTCCTTTCCCCAAGAAAAAGAAAAAGAAAAAATGCATTCGCCCATATGCGCCCATGACCACTGAATAACTAAGTTCTGTAAAACAAAACAAAACAAAAAATGATACCAATTCGTTTCCCCTTTGCCCTCCCTTCCTTCGTAGTTCCGTAAATGTCATCTTCGCAGCAGTGCGGAAAACACAGGTGAAGACGCAACTACATACGTACAAAAGCGGATGTGTCTTTTCCCCTTCAACCCGGGAATAGGTATCGTTTGCTCAGATATTGCTTTTCTTTTTTTTTCCTATCTTGTGATTTTTTTTTGTTCCCCTGCCTAATTATCTAGACAGACCAAAAGAAGTAAGAAAGAAAAGAGGAAGAAGATAGGGAAGAGTCTGTACTGCAGAAGGAAAAAGGACTTCAAACAAATAGCACATTTTGTTTGAGCTCATAAAAAATACAAATCACCCGCGCTCTCCCGGCGCCTGTCCAAAAAAAAAAGAATTCACACTTTCCTTCTCCGTTTCGGCTTCCCGGCCGCTGTTGAAGGCGAAGCTTCATCATCGCCGCTCCCCTCATCTTTGCCGCTGCCACCTGGCGCTCCAATCGCCTTTTCGTTGCCCTTCTTGACCGATATGGCACACCCCTGTAATTTGAGGGCCTTGGTCAATTCCGTGCTTGGCCGCATCCCGGGGAATTCCTTCGCCGTGTAAACGGTAAACACCTCGCTCATGGCCTCTGTTATTATTGGTGTATAGCCCTCCGGCCGTAGATCACTAGGCTCTAACCGCATGAGAACAAATCTCAATCGGTATTTACCGTGCGTTCTACATGATAAATCGGGGAAGCAGAAAAAGCAGCCCTCTTTCCCTTCCTCGTCCTGACCCACGAACGGCGATGACACCAGTGTACCCATCAGCCGTCGCGTCAGCCGCTTGTCCACGCCTATTAGCGCGGTTTCGTCCTGGTTTCCGTCTGAGCTCCACAGTGTGCAGTGTACAACATTGAATGGATACCGCATCTCGTTGGGGTCTGAGTGGCCTGTAGGGTCGTTTACGATAAGCTGGACGATTGGTGGGGGATCTATGACTCGTCGATCCCGTTCGCCAAAACCACATGCCCGGGCCGCTACGGGCTGCTGCCGTACCTGAATCGTATAACGCTCAGGGCTGTATATGCGTTAATAAGGCAATTAAGGGCGCCACCTACCAGGGCCTAAAGACTGACCTTGATTGTGGGCGACTAGGCCGTCGGCTCACGACTGCATCTTCCACTGAGGTGGGCGTGTACCTCGATGGGTAGTTTGGCTGTTGCTGGTGTTGGTGTTGCTGGTGCTGCTGGTGCTGCTGTTGCTGTTGCTGATCCCCCACAAAATTGTGCTCTACCGACCGTTTCACGTTGTAAGTTGGAGAAGGGACCATAGTGCTTAAACTTGATCTAAAGTCCATGTCAGCCCAGCACCACGAGATATTCACGTTAGAAATTGGAGTACCTTCGTCGTTCCCGGTCTGAGTCTTGACTATACCTTCTATCATCGTACCTAACGCCGAAGTCGTAGGAAGCCGGCGACGAGAGCCCGGAATTGGCGGGGGAGTTGTATGTCGTCTGCGATGTTATGACGCTCCCATATGGGGCCGTTGAAACTTGTCGAACCTCACGTTTGTGGGGAGTTTGCGAGGAGGTAGATATGTGCTGCTGTTGCGAATGTTGCTGTTGAGGAATGTGCGAGGGCTGCTTGGATTGCTGAACAAGGGGCTGCGGTAATGTAGATCTGACGGGACTTGAAATTGCGAGAGGCGGTAGTATCGGACCAGGGCCTGAAAATCGTGCGGCTTGACCCAGAGGGTCGTTGAATATAGGCGGCGGAAGTTGGTGGTGGTGAGGTTGAAATGCCGCAGAGGGCATGGGTCGAGGTGACTCGGCCATTGTAGAAGATGATGGAGGCAATGTGGACCGTGGATAGATGATGGGAGGGGGTCTAGGCGACATCATTCAGGCTCGAATCTCCGACCTTTCAAGTCGGTGACCGAAAACAGCGTATGTGAGATGCCGTAGCAGGCAGGAGAGGTGTGATTTAGGGAGTGGCTGACGGCAGCGGGGGGTAGTGGGTAGGAAGCTGATGTTAGAAATGTCAAGCAGTAAAGCTCAACGGCGCGCGTGTGCGCCTCCTTTGATAGAGGCGATCCTATATCCTATATCCAGAGGATAAGTTCTCACTAAGAGGTAACGGGCAGGCAGGCAAACGTTGCGTCGCGCAAAGGGCAAGAAGTACACTGGTCTATGTGAGCGACTGGGTTCGCCAGACGCGACAAAAATATTTATATAAAAAGGCCGTGCTTTTTCTTTCTCATTGGTCTTTTCTCACCAACGCAGCAGCAGACAGACGATTACTTCTGGGGGGACGGCCGAGAGGTTCCGAGATCGTTTTGTAACAATAGTGAGACGGCAAGTATGGAAACCGGGGAGCAATGGAGGCAAGCGAGCGAATCGAATGCGATCGAGATCGAAGTAAAGTTGACCAGGGGGGAAAAAAGGAAATAATAATAAGTAGGAATATAACAAAATGCTTGCAGATGGACTGGTCTGATAAGTCGTGTGCACCGTAATTTTGTGTTGTACTTTTTGTGTTTATGTACGGGGGGGGGGAAACAAATATTATCCACGAGAGCAGCGAAGCTTAAGGAACGAGAGTCGAAGGTACCCGGAGAGGAAACTACTATCCTGCAGAAACAGTGTCGGCGTGACAAGAAGAGAACGAGATTTTGGGAAGGAACGAGAGGAAGGGGGTGGGAGGGGAAGGAAATGGAAGAGGAGGGGGGGTAGAGAGAACGGAAGTGATACACCTGCACTCCTGCTGGAGGGGTGGGAGGAGATGTGGAAAGAAGAGAGGAGAAGGGGGGGGGGGGGGGGGAGGGGGAAGAGGGGAGAGAAAGTCGAGAGAGAGAATATGATGAGAGAGGGACAGGATATGCGTATTGAACGAGTGTCACGGTAACAGATATCCCTTCCTCCTCTTTTTTTTTTTACTACCTTCCCTTCCTAGTCTTATTCCTCGAGGTTGATCTTCTCTTGTTCCTACTCTACTCCTGCTCCTACCTCTTCTCGTCTTTTTCCCTTTTTTCTAAAGCCTTCCCGCAGGGGGGTGGAGAAGACGAGTGAGAGGGTGGGTGACGGAGTAAGAATGAGAGGTTCGTCTACACTGCGCAGCAGCGATGTGACAGGAAACGACGACGAAAGAAGGACTGGTAGAGAAGGCCGCTCTAGCGGAGCTGGCAAAGTGTAGGAAATCGGGTGGCCCCCTCGCTATTTTTGGGCCAATATTTTGACGGGGCAAGGGCTATGTGGATTGGAGGCTTGTGATAGAGCGAAGTAATTGATTTGATAGTTGGAACTGCTCAATACGTACCTCGTACCTTGTCGTACCTTAATCCTTTTGTTTTCTTTTGGCTTGACTGACCGACGGGCTGGACCGGCTACTTGACTGGTTGACAGATTGATTGTATCGACCGAACGACTGACTGGTTGACTGATTGATTGACCGACTGACCGACTGACCGATTGACCGCTAACTAACTGACTGATTTTGAGCGGGACTCGATACTGATTGTCTGAGGAAAGAGAGAAGATCAAGACTCCGAAATCTCCCCACGATCGAAAGGCAATAATATCTCGGGGGGAAATCTCAATGATTCAACTAGCAGGAAAAGAAAAGAAAATAAACACCCCACAACTGGTCCGAAGCTTGTACGTACAGTTACCAAGTTGGCTTAGTTAGAGGGATGTGCGGTGATGTGCTGCAACCAATCCGGTATATGTGTATGTATGTAAGTAGGGTTCGCAAGTTAGTATACCACCGCTCCTTCCATCTTTCACCTCCTTTCGTTCTTTCTCTGGCTCGTTCAGCAGATTTCCGGATCAGAATCTGATCCACACTCTTCCACGGGGTCGGGTTACGCCGTAAGACGAAAATGATCAGAACGGAACCGGCGAAGCTCAAAAATAACGGCTAGGATGAGTGGGAGATATGTACTGTCGAAAAGATCGAAACGAAACCCTTCTCATCACCACAAAGCAAGTACCGAGGAGGTCATATAAAAAAAAAAAGGAAACCCTCAGCATATACTTTTGAGCTCCAGCAAAACAAAACAAATTCAAAAATTACCAACTAAATAAACTAGTTGTTGGAATAAATAAAAATAAGCTGTGATGGTTTGGGGAAATCCAATATATCCGCTCTGTTCCACAGGGTCACTTCTAACGCTTGATCCGCGGTCTTCCTGCACTCCATAACTTCCCATTTGTGGTACCTAATACTGCGGTGCATACCGCTGTGCTCCCTCAAGCCAGGGTATAAAAACCAAGAAATATGTATGTGGACAACTCGTCGGTACCTTTATTCCAGGGTCTATTTTACATCTTACATCGTGCCTATTCTAATGATGTACTATAGCTACATTTATATCATCCCCCACGCATCCCAAGACAAAAGAACCATGGGGGGGAACGTCATGTTTCACTTTCACACGAGCTCTATCTTAGAGAAACGGTGTGGAGACGGGAAATAGACTGTCGAAACCCGGGACGGACAACCACTCTACGTAGATTGCTCACGCTTCATCCCGCTAAGACCCGCCTCAAGATTATTGGCAACTTCGCTTCGGCGGGGATCCTTGATCCAAGGAAATTGATTCCACTGCTGTTCCCCGGACACCTCATCATTGGCAGATGACTCCAATGAATCTCCTGCTCCACCCCCTCCACCCCTCCTTCTCACCTCTCCCTCCACACTATTCAGAAATGTCTTTCTCCTCATAATATCTATGGGACGCAGCTGCAAATGAGACAGACGCTCGTACAAAATGGAACCGAGAACTGGAAAAAGTAGACCCTTTCCCCTCATTTCAACTCGTATGTATGCAGTTGTCACTCGTCCAGGACTTCTGTTGCTGCTAGCTGTCGGTTGGCAGCCACTAATTGTATTGTATGTATCAGTGATCAAATAAACAAATTGGAAAACGCACATGGGTTTCCCCATAATACAGCAACACAACGAACCATATAATAGCAATAACAAAAACATTACTATTAATAATAACGACAATATCACTATTCTTATTAGCGAAGTTTAGAGCAGGAACGGTATGGGTGTTTTGCAAGGCGGTCTGACGAACTCTAACAGATTGGTCCGGGTCATGCCCAGGATTTCACACGCTTCGGCTCTTGTTCCGCTTACCCTATCCCAACGTTTATTGATAAAAACGGATCCTTCCTTTCGATGTTTGCAAAGCCCCATAAACAGGGGAGAGAGGGGGGAAGGGGGGAGGGTTTTGATGGGCACATACTGTAGCTTTAGAAGATGATAGAAAGCTTTCCACGTATAGCGAAACACCGATTCCAAAAAGGACGTCGATGGTAGAGGGTACTTACTACGGACCCTAAAGGCCGATCAACAAATCTTCCCACAGACCAGGATATAGAGACTCTGTTGAGCCTGAAGAATTTGCTTTTTCACGTTGCAAGGACCAGTCCGTGGCTCTTGTTTTAGCTTTGCTTTTTCTACCAAATATCCCCAGTGAGTATATCTTTCACTTATGGCTAGTGTGACTCGCAAGCCTCTACGTATACTTTCCCATTTAAATGTTCCACACAGCCAAACCCGCAGCATTGGCATGTACTTCTAGTTAGTTAGGATAGGAAGGGGGGTGACTTTTGGGTCTCCAATGTTTTTACTGTAGTGCTGGGGGTGTCTAATGAGGGTAGATCGGTCGACACATAGCACGAGGATCGGAGCAAGCAAGGAAAGCTAGTCTTTCAAAAGACAGAAAGGGTCCTAGTGTCACCACTGCTAACTACTTCCTTTCGGCTGTCAGATTTCTTTTCTCTATCCCTGAGCTCAGAATTACAGGGCTTTTTAACAAGTTCCAGGTATTTAGATCGCTAGGGCCGGGGTTTTTTCCTTCCTCGAAGCTTCCCCCCGTAAAATGACCATATTGGGCCGATGTAATATATGTTAGAGCTTAATAGTGTGACATTATGAGCTTGAGAACAGCGGGGTCGTCGTCCCTCAATAAGTAATTGACGGGGAGGGAGCTGCACATCTATTATTCCATGTAAAAATTTCTTGGTACTGGGGCAGCCAAATAATAGATCGTGACATGTCTCCTTAGGGGGGCTCAATATTAACCTCGAGACAGTCATTCTGAGAATATAGTCAGCTGCTGATGTCTAGAAGCTCTGCTTACTGACAAAGGCCCTCCCATAAGATCAAACATGTTCAGTCCTTTTTTTTAACCCGGCTAATAACATGTACTCGTGGAAACACGGACCGGCGGTCCTTGTGCCTAATAGAGGAGGAGGCCCAGTACCAGTGCTACATGTACTGCTGAGGTACATACATGTACTCACATAATTGGTATTCCCCAGATGATGAGAAAGAAGCTAAGCGACTCTCTTGGCGATTGGGACTTTTCCAGGAAAACACCCATAAACAGTTATACAGGGACAGTTGAGAGAGGGAGCTCACACGGACACAGGCCAATGTGGTTGGTGGTGGTGGTGGTGCAGGTTCGTTTTCAGTTACACGAAAGGATCTCAGCCTAATGATGCCGCCCGACTGACGCCATCCTCGTACATATGTATTTCGGATATAGGTTTATGCGGGTCTTAGTCGGTTAGGAACGTTGTACGCAACTCCCGGGTCCGCTATGGATAGATTTTCAAGCCGGTGTCGTAAGATCGCGAGGTCTGTGTGTTTCGCCGTGTTCGGAACGTTCCGAACCGGAAACTACGGGCTTTCACATGGTCTTGGCTTTCTGGGCGCATAGTGGTCTGTACTTTGTAAAGTCCCTTCAGCCTTTCCTTGCATATAATTTGTCTTGTATTATGATCAATATTCAATAAATATCTGATCTTCAGTCAACCATCTATGCGATTTTAAGGGGGAGCAAATAACGAAAGTGAAAGGTGGAAAAGTACATGTATGTACTTAGCCCCCAAAAGAGCTCATGTTAACTTGGATATATGCAGGTACAACGGCCCGCTCCCTAACAACAGCTGTAATACTCCTTACTGTTGCATATATCTAATTTCAAGAGCCAGGACTTGTGACTTTATCCCGAGTTATTTGTGGCCATGGGAAGCTCCAGATAATAAAGACTCATACTCTAATTCCATGAGGCTTATGTTGACAGGCTCAACTCAGTTACGTTACTTCGCACCAACGGTCCGAAATATCGGACTTCAGCTGTGGGTGTGGGTGTGGGTGTGGGGTGTGGAACGGCCTCTTTGGAGCCATAAGACTCAGTAAGGCAGCAGCTCGATTCCCTATCTGAAATAGTAAGCTCGGTTATCGATCGTGAAATTGAGAAATTGAGAAATATCGAGTCCATGGTATAAACCTTCCACGGAGGTTCGCCCATAGTTGTTCGCCCATAGTTAGCTTGGCCTTTACTTGAGAAGCACCCTTGGACAAAAAAAAAAAAAAAAAAAAGGACCCTTCCCCCTACCTGCATGTGATTCCTTGATTATAACACCTAATTTTAAGGATCTGTCTGAACCCTAAGGATCCAAGGCTTCCACATACTTGTACTCAGGGAGGAACTTGCAGCTATCTGACACTCTTCGCTGGTTATAGGGTAACCAGTAATGGACTATGCTCACCTGACCGTTACAGAGTCATCTGGATAGAGAGCGACAGCTCTTGCCAAAAGCAGCAAAGAACTCCGCCTTGGCCTAAAAGCTTCGAGTGGTGGGCTTTGCTTCAACTGTGATTCACCTGCAGATAGTAGCAGCATCTGCGGCTTAGATATCATGCTTCACAAACTTAAGCCCTATACCGGCCAGGCCACATATCAACGCCGCTTCTGGAGGATTTCCAGGTGTAGCAATGACGAATGATGAGGACGAAACCCAGGTTTAGGCGATGGAGGGCTTGTCTTACCCGTGTCTAGCGCTGCAGCAATAAGGGGAAATGGCCTCTTTCCCGGTAATGGGAATGGCAGCGTGCGCATCTAGCCCTGTTCCACGTCGAGTAAAAAGTGCCGGCCGTATCTTTCTGAGAATAATCGGAAAATCCCTCACCTCACAGCATCGGCAGTTTTCCTGAACTCCGCGAAGGGGATGATGCCAGGGTGTTGGTGGTTCGTCCTCAATGTTGTTGTCGGCTCTGACCGACGGTATCATTGAGGTCCCATAACAGTGCCCGCAACGAGCTGGCCAGCCAAGACTGACAGCTCAACATCATTAAGAGTTTCGAACAAAGCCAATTAAACAGCATTGGAGATCTTGGGAGCTTGAAGGGCATCCTCTCAAAAGCGCACGGGTAAGCGAAACTCAAAGATCAGACCACTATTTGGTTTTTTCTTTTGATATATGTGAGAGCCATGTCTGTAATCCCTTTTTTACCTTCGCTTTTAAAATTACGTTCCTGTCGATCACTTCAGGAGTTGACTCCGGATCCGAGCTTCTTTTTCTGCAATTCAATTTCTTTTTTCGGTTACAAATGTCCCGCCCCGCCTGTCTCGAATGGAGCCGGGATTCGGCCGACAGCAACAACAACGCAGCAACGGAAACCTGCGTCGGAGAAATCCATGACAGGCCGCAGTTTTCCAGTGGGGTAGGTTTTTCCGCTGTCTCTTGTGCCACGTGTGGAGGTGGCGGCAGAGAGAAAGCAGTGCCCGACAGAATCATGATCAGTGAACTCTTGTGCACTGAAGACTCTGTTGTAACCGCCTACTGGGTACATGTATGTCGTTTGTTTGAAGGTCCGATTTCCTGTAATTGATTCAGATCTACTTATTAGTATGTGAAGTGATGGACCAGGTTGAGGAGGGGAAGCAAAGACCACATACATATGCATCAGAGACAAGATAAGAATATCGAACGAGTGATCATGCATCCCACAAGCGTTCGAATCGGGGTTTTATTGTTTACTTAATTAAATGAGTTGTCATAGGTGCGATTCAAGGAACATCCTCGCTTGTGGGAGCTGTGCAGGAGAGTCTAAGCTTTCCGTCCAATCACAACATTGTGATGACTTAAATGAAGGGCTCATAATCAAGCACTTTTTCTTATTTTTTTTTTTTCTTTGCGGTGAGTTCGAGTCTATGGCGTTGGATGTCTCACCGTTCCTCACGTCCCACAACGTTTTAGTGTATCATTCTGGATTGGACATGGAGGATCCTCTAGCGCTCCGGTGGCCGGAGCCGCTCCGTGCCAAGGTTGCGGGGAAGAAACCGCCAAAAAAACAAGCATTTCAGACTGGGCCAGCCTGACGCTAGCTATCCGAACCCTAACCCATTCGCTTGTTGCTTCTTCGGACGTCACTGGACTTTTAGCGTGGAGATAGACAACAACAGAGCTACGATTACTTCAAGCAGGTGGGCAGCAGTAGCAGAAGCAGAAACGCAACAATGGCTCAGTACGGGAACTACAAAAGTATGCCATTATCATCTCCACAAGAGCATTGCCCTCATGTGAACCCTTATTTCCCCATATGCGCCATACCCTGACCTAGACGCTGACAAATATTTACCATACACTGCTAGGCTACCAAGGTGCCAGTCGACACGATGGTCCCAATCGTGCCCCGCACGTTATCGATTACCGCCTGCAAGCCCTCGCCAACGCTTCTCCAGATCTGTTTACTGGCAAGGACATCCTGGATATAGGATGCAACAATGGGGCGATAGCTGTGCATCTGGGTACCACAACCTTCCCCCAAGTCCTCCATGCTAGCCAGCGGCAAAGCTAAAAGTCATGGGCACTGACGATTATGCATGGGAGTGAAAACGAAAAGGCATTTCATTCTCTCCGGCAAGCGTAACCGGCGTCGATATCGATCCAGAACTGGTTCAAAAGGCGATATCGCATCTATCCTTGCGATATTCCAGGACTGCCCCAGTAGATGGAGAGTCTGCCCCAGTCGAGCCTAGCCAGGTCGAGCGGAATAATTATTTTCCGATCTCGTCGGTACTGCAGCATGGGCACCGGAATTACCATCAGGATCTCGACCCCGCAAAGTTTCCCCTTAACGTGGCCTTCCGCTGTGAAAACTGGGCTACGAGCCCTCCTTTGGAACCGGGGTTTTACGATGTGATCCTCGCTCTAAGCATGGTTAAATGGGTCCACCTGCAGGGCTTGGATGAAGGTAAGCGAATAAAGGAACATCTGCCCCCCCCCCCCCCCCCCGGATTTTCCCTGCGTAACTCTTCTGTGCTGGACCTACTAATTATGCTCACGATTAAAGGATTACGAGCATTCTTTGCCAAGGTCTACTTGTCTCTACGTCCGTCTGGATACTTTATCCTTGAACCCCAGGAGTGGGAATCTTACAAGCGGGCGGTAAAGAAGAATAAGACCCTCGAAGGGAACTATAAAAAGCTAGAAACTCGCCCAGATGACTTTCAACCAATCTTGGAAGCAATCGGGTTTAATCTTTTGCAAAAATTAGATACCAGTCTCAAACGGGACATTTTTATTTATCAGAAGAACTAAGTACTTGATGCATGCATGCGTTTCCTTCTGTTCTATTCCTACAAACCAGCCCTTTTCCTGCCGGGGTTTGTTTACGTGCTGGTTACCGCCAAAAATAGGAAAATGTGAATCTAACCACCCATCTAAAGAGAATATCTTGACTTGGAAAGCAGTTTAATTCCAAGTTTGTATGAAAAAGGATGAGAATACAATAAAGCGATTGAGTGGAGACAACCGCAATGTACGAGAGGAAAGGATGGGGAGACATTAATGTTCAACCAAAAGGTTAGAGAAAGATGGTGAAAACATTTAAAACACATGAATACTTTTTTTTTTTTACTTTTTGACTCCTCCCCATCTTTCCGCCTCGCGGTCTCTCTCCGCTCTCCGCTCGAGGTCTTCCTCGTCCTCATATTTGTATGATGGCTTTCTTCTAGACCGTGAATCTTTCGTTGTCTTTCGGTCCGCATCTTTTTCTGAGTGTCGTTCTTTCTCAACCTTTTTCTCCGTGGCGGCCTCCGGTTCAGTCTTTTCGTGCTTTTCTCTTCGGCCATATTTCTCGTCTTTATCGTATTTCTCATCTCGGTCATATTTATCATCTTTATCGTATTTATCGTAGCGATCGTGTTTGCTAGACTTGTGACGATGAGAACGATGCCGACTATCTTCTCTCTTACTCCTTCGCTTGTGCCTTCTTTCTCGGGAGTCTCTCCTGCTCCTGCTGTCTATTCCATCGGCATCCCGTGAAGCCGTAGTTTTTTCATCAATTGGGTAGTCGTCCTTCTTTGGAGATCTGGAACGTGAGCGGGAACGATGTCTTTTACTGCCCCTATGCTTATGGCTTCGGCGATGGTGCCTACTACTGTCCTTATCCCTACCATCTCTATCTCGGGGCTCTTTGTCCCGGTTATCTCTGTCTCTCTCTGTGACGGGGCTAGATCTTCTGTGTCTGCGGCTGCGCTTGTGATGCCCACTTGGCGACTTGCTCCGAGACCTTGAGGCAGATCGTAATCTTTCTCTGCTAGCAGACTCTTCGCGCGACCTCTTTACTCTGCCAGTGGAACTTTGTTGAGTACTATCTATATTGTCCTGTTCAGCGGTAGAAACATCGGTGAGCGTCTTAACTAGAACAGGCGAGATTGGTTCTCCAGCGTCAGGGTCTAATGTCCGTCCGCGGCGGTCACTTTCAGATTCAACACTTTGAGATTGGCGCTTCCGGTGTCGACTACGGTCCCGGTTCCGGGATCTGGATCTTCTACGACGATCGCGACTAGGGTCTCTACTTCTATCACGGCCTGTAGCACTAGATCGACGCCTCCCTTCTCTAGATCGAGATCTAGAAAATGGTCTCGCACGCCCTGGTGACATACTGTTTCACACCCCATGTTATCAGAACGTTTCCGGAATACTAGTGGGAAATGATACAAACCTTCTATTCCATGATGATCCAGCGTAAGCGCCTCTTCCGCGACCGAATGCTCCTCCCCTAATAGGTATTCCCCGAACTGGAGGGATACCTTCTCGGAGGGCTTTGGGGCCAGTAGGCGCACCTTCAACACCTAATCCTACACCAGGTATTTTATCGGGTTCTGTATCTCCAATGACCGGTGGGGACGGTGCAACGCTATAAAATCCGCCTCTGCCTGTCGGATATGATCCTCTAAAATTTCCCCTAGGGCCCCCACGAGGCCCCACGGGAAAATGCGGTTGAAAGCCTGGTGGACCTCTAAATTCATCTGGGGTAAAATACTGAGCCATATCAGGATTCACAGGGACTGCTAAATTTTGTGAGTCTGCAAGTTCCTCAGGAGCAAGATCTGCTCCGGCCAAAACAGTAGAAGCAGTATCAGTAGGCACATCGTTGGGATCAGTTATATTCTCAGGATCTCCAGAAACAACAGGAATCTTTTCTCCTTTTTTCTCATCAACGGACGTGCCAGCAACAGCAGCGCGAACTTCATCAATACCTTGTAACTGTTGTTGAAATTGATCCTGAAAAGCCTGCTGTTGCTGGCGTTCAAGAAAAGGACGTGACCCATTACCAAAACCACCACGACCCCGTTGATAAGGCTGTTGCCGCTGGAAATGAGGATTTTGATATTGCTGTGTGGGCATCTGAAGATTCCCGTGAGATTGGTGATTATATCCACCAGCAGTTGCAGCAGAATAATATCCACCATTACGAGTACCATCCATTCCGGGATTGTATCCCACATTATTTTGCCCATTCCAGCCCCATCCCATTCCATCATGCCCGTTATGAAACCCTCCTCCATTCATTCCCATGCCCCCAAAGTTTCCTCCACCATATCCTCCTCCCTGTGCGACCGAATTCATGCCATAACCTTAAAAGGAAGGAAAAGAAGATATTAGTGTCTATTAACGATTGAGGGAGTAAGTAACTTAACGTACCCATCATAGAATTCCCATATCCGTTCATCCAACCCTCATGATGCATTCCTTGCATCATTTGGTTATACATGTTCCATCCATTGGGACCTGAAAGGTCCTGCCCAGGAAACATCTGTTGCATCTGTTGCTCCATCTGATTGGGGTCCTGTTGACCGAACCAAGCGTTCTGCTGGCCAACGAAGCCATTTGCTGCTTGGACTTCGGGATTTGTCTCGGTAAGACTCCTCACCACCCCCGTCTCATTCACCGCTTCCGTAGATTCCTGGAAGCGGTTAGTCATATCGGACATTTTGGTAAGAAACAGTTTTGACCAACCTGCGAAGCATGCGGAAGCGCTGGGGTACCTTCTGCCCGAGCAGTCTCCTCAGCCTCTTGCGGAGGTGTTAATGGATTCTGCATAGGGGACACGTGCGCCTGTACAGCCTTTTCTGGCTCTGGCTCTGCATCCTTAACCTCGACCTTGGGCTCTACCGGTTTGGTCTTCTCTTTTTGTTCTTTCTGCAACATCAGATTATGCTTCTTCTCCTGAGTCCGTAGGAAAACTGCCACCGTTGTTCGTAGGGCAATATTTGCTTTGCAGTCGTCTGGGCTAAGCGGAGTGTGGTCACAAACGGGACACTCAGTCGGGAGATTCGCATGACCTATGTACGTAAAGCGAAAAACTTCAGCGAAAATTTCTTCTAAAACAATTCCGAGAAAAAAGATTACCCACAGTTTTCACATATCGACTGTTCGCAGCATGGTAGACGAGAGGCGCCACGTGCAAGCTCGCTGCAAATAGTGCACCGGAGTTTGACAGGTATCTCAGGCAGCGGAATCGAGCTGATCACAGTTAGAGGGAAAGTCTCAGCTGGAGACACCGATATTACACGTCTATGTAGTGAGTTCTCACCTTAACCCGTTCGCTGACTGCTCTTGTGTCGTTGCCATCTCTATGTGAGCCGCACGTGCGCTTGGGGGTGAATGTAGAGGAGGATGGCGTGAAGGAGGCGCTCAGGGGAGAGCAAATAGTGCTTTTTGAGATCCTGAAGCACTCGAAGCAAAATTGACTGTGTGCTGGTGATGTGCTGGGTGGTTGGTGAATTTTGATAAAGTTGCCGTGGTGGTGTGCGGAGCATGGAGGCTGGGGGAAAACGGATGAGCTTGCACCGAATCGGAGTAAACCACTAGATGCACGAACAGCAAGTCCCAAAGTATGAAGCCGGCAGTTCTTCAAGGTGGTGGCTTCTCTTCTTTTCACCTACTCCTAATATTTGAATCCACACGCCGTAAACAGTAGCATATATGATTCAATTAGGATTTATCTACTTCAATTGTTACTCACATGTCCTCGGCTAGGGCTCAGGGTTCGTGGCTAGGGCCACATTGTAGAAGTGATAGAAACCACCAGGTTCCGCGGCTCAACCCTCTTACCATCAGGTAGTAAGGTTCCTGTAGGTTCATATTTCACGACATGTCTATGCGAGGGGGTTCTTGTTGATATTGCAATTCACACTGCCCAATCCCTTACATACAACTAACGCCTCTATGGATGAAGTGTCACCCAACTACATGCTATATGGGCTCGTTCACCCAGGTAGTTATTCTTAAAAGAAAAAAAAAAAAAAACCTAGGCCAATAACCCCCGGTCTGTAGCACATACACACTGTTGAAGATATCAAAATTTGGCTGGGCGGCAATCATCGCCAGATCGTATGTCGTCAGCATCCACAACCCCAGCGCCACAGAATTACTTACCAACATGCTCCTGGGATCCGTTTCGTGGTTAGATATCATTGTTTTTTTAGGCTTCGCAGCTATATATCTACTGCGAGACATCGGGCTTCTGGATGCACTTATTTGTGCAATCCAAGCACTTCCGTTCCTTGGTGAGTCGCGGCCACAGATCTTTATGAACACACCGCAGAACGAAGCTAACGTCTACCAGTACTTCAACTACCGGTGGATATTGTACGAGAACGGTACCTGACCGCTAAAAAACATCAGTTGACATTCACACAGCGAACGACACTATTTCAGGACCTAGTTGTCCGTTGCATGCGCTATGCTTTCTCCAACATACCAAGCAGAATCACCCGGGTTTTCTTCACGAGGGGTGTTGCACTACCGTTCCTAAGATTCAGGATGTTTCGCCATGGATACTTTAAGCAACTTGCGCGTCCGATATGGAGCGAGGTTCATCGCGTAAGTCGAGACCATCTATAGAAATAATTCGAATAATTAGTGCTGACGTCTGATATCAGGCTGAAGATGGGTTGAAGGGACTATGGATTGTTGAAGACCGAGACAAGAAACCTGATCTCTTTATCTATTATTCTCATGGCGGAGGTTTTGCGATGGGTTCGTCTTACTTTTACCTCGAATTCTTGATTACTTGGATATCAATCCTTAAGGAATCCGGATTCATGAATCCCGCAATATTTGCCTTGGAATATACGCTTGTTCCAGAGCAAACATATCCGCACCAGCTTGGGGAAATGCTTGTTGGCTATAATTACGTTCTTTCAATCGCCGGAGATCCTGATCAAATAGTTGTAAGTGGGGATAGTGCTGGGGGAACTCTTACTCTCAGTCTCTTGCTCAGTCTGGCAAGTCAACATCCAAACAAAAAGCCAGCCTTGGCTACACTTATATCGCCATGGACCAATTTGGTTTCTGAACTAAATCGCAACACTTCTACGGATTATCTTAACGTTGAAAAGCTCCATGATCTCGCAAGGCAATATGCTGGTCTTCACAGAGTGTATGATCCACTTATGTCTCCCGGGTGCTGTATGGATACGCTGTGGTGGGAGAGGGCCATGCCTACCAAAGGAATGCATTACTATTACGGTTCCGAAGAAGTTTTCTGTGAGAGCATTCGAACGATGGCGAAAAGGTTGGAGAGAATAGGGCCAGTAACCTGTCATGAGGATGAAAGTCTTCATGCATGGCCTTTTGCTGTTTTGTTTCTCGGAGGACACAAGGAGGAGAGGGCCGCAGGATTGCGGACAGTTTCCAGAGACATTGCGCAAGCTTTATTGTGATTGCAACGGATATCAATTTGAAAAGGTAGCATTTATATAGAGAAGTGCCTATATGCACTTGGGTACATGTACTTTATGCATGCACTTGCAGCCTAGATTTCAGTGTCGTAGAAGTACGCGGCTAGGGGAGGCCTATAAAGTAGCTATTAATTTATTAAATTAAATGTAATCTTGTTTCTAGAATCAAACCAATTCATAAAGTACTTAAGCTGTTACCATGGACGGACCTTAATCATTATTCTTCCTCCAAAAGTTTACTACTGGCACCATCCATGTTGCTTAACAATGCACCCTTCCTTCTTTTACTCCAAATGTCCCAAAATACGGCCACAAACCAACGCCAAGGATGGGTGGAGCCTCATACATATCACCACGGCCATGGGTCAAGTTTAGAGTTCGAGGGAACACCTAGGATCGGTTCTCGGCTCAAGGAAATTCAGAAAAAAGGAAAGAGCAGTATAACACAACAACCCTTAGGCGCCGCGGCCGAGGCATCAGCTTCTGAGTAGGCGATAGGTACTTACATGCTGTGAAATGTCACGGTACTCTAATCTGGGTTCATAAAACCCTCCAGCTTCGTTCTTTCAGTGCTAGCAAGGCCAGGGTTCTATTAGTAAAGGTTCTTCATAATGATCTTCTCTAGGAGGAAAATTCCACTCGTAGAAGGATGAGTTGGTGGAAATTTAGATTTCGGAAGAAGCCTATTCCAGTAACCCATGCCTTGTGGAAACACAATATGACTTCAGACATACAATGCAGTCAGCCAAGTACTAGTTGGTGTTCGGATCTGGTTGCAACTCTCCATAGCATCTTCAACTCCAGCCTCGAGCCAGAGTAGGCTTCTCCAACGTTCAACGTTCAACGCTGCTCAACGCTCGTTCCTAAGAGACCCTGGGGGTTGACACATAGCCACCACCCCTCTCTATCCTACAACTCCGATTGACGACCCCCTCACCCCCGTCATCCGTCGGCCTCTACAAATAAGAATCCTTTCGCCTTCTGAGGCTCTTTGCTCCGTCCGCTCCCCCGGTTCCTGCATCTTCTGTGCTCTCAGCCGACCATCTTCTCAATCTTCTCGGACGGTCTTCCCCGTTTATTTTGAATCGTTATTTACAAATTCAAAAAGAACGGTTGTGGATAGTATTCTCATCGAAGATGTCGCAATTGCTGTACCGACTGATCACCTCTGATCACTTTAGCGATAACCCCTTTCTCGCTGTGGCATATCTGGCGTACGGATGCACCCCTCCTTCACCGAGCGAATCATATTCGCATCACTTAGCTGACTCCACTACGTCCTGAGATAGTCGATATTCTGGTCACATAGGAATACACCATTTTCTCTGTACAAAGCTTCGGGAGTTCAGCTATGAGGAGATCGAGTTCTTCCTTCCGCAACTGTGCCATCTACTTGTTAGCATAGAGAATACGGAATCTGTGGCGCTGGAGGAGTTTATTTTTGAGCTATGCGAGAAATCAGCGCATGGGGCTCTTCTGGTATTGACCTTCCAAAGAGAAGATAAATGCACGTCATAGCTCTAACCGCGACACATAGACATTTTGGCTGTTTCAGACGCATCTACACGATTTATCGGGGGATCCCACGTCGAGTGCGTTTAAGGTATATTTCAAGTGTGGATGTCTTTGGGACATGGTATTCTGACGTAAAACTTTACAGACATGTAGAAGAATCTATAATAAGGTGCAACATATAGTGTTTGGTGCAGAAGAAAGTAAGAAAAAAGAAAGATTAAAGGAGAATGTTCTGCCAGTTACCTTGCTGGCAAGTTTGATTATAGGAAGCGTTGCAGCTCCATTTTTACCGAAGTTTGCGGGACCTTTAGCTGTTGCGCAGGCACGGAAACCGCATGTTTATCAATCAATAACAGATCTTCCGGGAAAACTCACTCGAAGCAAAACCATTGCGACCGGGCAACCAAGTAGACCAAAGAAAGAGCGGCCACGAGTCAAGACCTCAGACTCCACCTCAGCTGTTTCTGCTAATCAGCCTTCACATACCAAATCGCCAAGATCTCCCCACAGCACACCAACTTCGCCAGCCACCAGACCTGAGAGAAGGTCATTTTCACTAACACGACGGTCATCTTTCAAATCGGATTCTCTCAATGTCCCACTTATGTCACCTACCGCTTCCTCTTCTTTGCCAGATCTTCGAATGCAACGAAGTGTTACACTCGGTTCGTCATCTGGGACCAATAACATTCGTCGCCGAAAGGAAAGGCCTTTAACTCCAGCACAGCTATCTACGTCCAAGAAAATTCATATGTTAAGAGCAAATTACTTTCGCAACCAAACTCAGTTTCTATCGGCATTGGAAGATATATCAAACAAGATGGTTTTGGTGCCAAAGCCGATCCGGCTCAGTGCTCTACGAACGGAATTGGCTTTACTCAACAACTATTTGCCCGCTGAAGTTGATATTCCAGTGATTTGCCCTGCCACTGCTGGTCAAGATAGTTGGCAACCTGGCCACCATCGAGTTGTTCGCATAAATCCAGCTGAGGCCACTGTTCTAAATAGTGCTGAAAGAGTACCTTATCTCCTCATGGTAGAGGTTTTGAGAGACGATTTTGATTTCGACCCAGAGAAGCCGGATAACCAACAGCTACTTTCCACACTGCTTTCAGATGAAGGCGCCGAAGGTTCGCGGCGGAGGATGTTTGATTTGTCGGAAGTTCCGCCAGCTGCGTACCGTAATGATAATGGTGAAACTGAGGTAGATAGCGTCTTCGAGCCCTCCACAGGGGATATCGGAACAACCCCAGTGGCCAACGGGAATTTAGTTGAGGACGTGGATCAAAGTAGTGATCCGGAAGTACCCGTTGCAAAGACTACGGTGCCAGTACCACGGCTTTCTAGCGGGGCATCATCCAGAACCTCTGAGCGTTCCGTCACTAGATCTGGTAGTCCAGGGCCAAGGAAGCCCTACGGTTCTTCGAGACCAATTAGTGAAGCGCCGGATCTATCGGCTCTTGCGACTCATATGAGGATGGCATCTGCTATGCTGGCCCAATTAGACGCTAGCAGCTCAAAGCGGCCAAAGAACGAAGTCGCAGCCATAAAAGAGAAAATCATTGCTAGTATGCAGACTTTAGAGGAACAAAACTTCTTTGAAACTGCCCCCCTGCAATCGTTTGACACAATTATAGCAAGTGCGGCAGTGGCAGCTCCGTTGTCGTCAACAGGAACAGAAGGCAGTGAAACGACAGCTCCATCTAACTTGAATGCTGAAGCTGGAGCGGCTCGCATGGAAAACGATCAAAAAACCTCCGGTGTGGAGCGGAAAGCAGACCGGGATGACCCTAGTGCAGCGACATTTGGGGAAGAATGGACCGTCAAGAGAGAACGCATAAGGAAGTCTTCGCCCTATGGCTGGTGCAAAAACTGGGATCTTCTAAGTGTAATTGTCAAGACTGGTGCGGATTTGAGGCAAGAAGCCTTTGCATGCCAGCTCATACACGTTTGTGACAAGATATGGAAGAAGGCTGGCATACCAGTATGGGTCAAGAGGATGCAGATCCTTGTTACTGGAGAGGTAGGTGTAAAATCTCCTTGTAGCTACGTTGTGCATCTCATTTTGTTGACACAAAGTTAGTCAGCGGGGTTGATTGAGACTATCACGAACGGCACATCTCTGCACTCTCTGAAAAGAAGTCTCACAATTGCGTCAATAGCTTCAGGAAAGAACCCTAAAGGTCGAATCGCCTCGCTCAAAGAGCATTTTGTCAAGGTATTCCCTGATATCCACCCTCTATGCATCAAAACTGATGGTGGAGTAGACTTTTGGAGAACCCGATTCGGAGACATATAAAGCTGCTGTAGATGCGTTTACCAGATCCTTAGCAGCATATAGCGTGATCTGTTACATACTCCAACTAAAAGATCGACACAACGGCAATGTGTTGATCGATAACCAAGGGCGTAAGTTAATTTATACTCTTCCAGCGCATTACCTCACGCTAAGATTTTCAAAGATATCATACACATTGATTTCGGCTTTATGCTTTCGAACTCTCCCGGTTCTGTAGGGTTTGAATCTGCGCCCTTTAAACTCACACAAGAATATGTGGACGTGCTCGGGGGTGCTCTATCACCGGAATTCGAAAAGTTCCGAGCATTGTTTAAGCAAGCATTTCAAGGTAAATATTTAACGGCTTTCCCGGGCATTCTGGTATCAAATTTTAATTCAACAATATTTTTTAGCATTACGAAAGTCAGCAGACAACTTGGTGGACCTGGTAGAGTTAATGGGCAAGGAATCTCGAATGCCGTGTTTCTCGTCTGGGGTTGTGTATGCCACCACCCAGTTACGGCAACGTTTCCAACTACACCTCAGTGAGGCAGAAGCGGGGACATTTGTAGATGATGTTTTGATCCGGGGATCACTAGGAAGTTATTCCACGAGAATGGTAGGATATCTTTTTTCCAATATTAAATTAGTTTCAGGCACTAACCAATTTTCCCCTAATAGTACGACCAATTTCAGTACTTATCACAGGGAATTTATTAGAGTAGCAAGTTATTGGTATTTCTTTGTTTATTGTAACGCGTTTCTGCGTCCATTTTTCGTTTTGGTTTAATACGGAATTTTGGACGTATTATCAGCGAGCAGGATATCACAGCTATTTTCTCGGTATCCCGAGCGTTTCTAATATTTGCAGTGTGCATATGAACAGACATCTTTATTTATCCTTGCATTTCTTGTGTCGTTTTTCTTTTTCACTCCTCTTTCTGTTGTCTTCGTTCGTCAGTTTTTGGAACTGTACAAGGCTCTCCGTCCTGGGATGTAGGGTTTTTGGGAGGGTTAGAAAAATCTCGTTTCGGTTTTTGTGAGAGAGCATTAATGTCTAGATATTGGCGTTATCGGTTGATTTGATGCTTCTTTGGTTCATCATGCATAGCATTCTCTATTTCTATTTTCTGTCCTCTCGGGTAGATCTACCCCTCACTTACTAGGTGGATATCTGAACGAGGCAGTCCTGTATAAACCCGGATTCTTCGAGAAGGTTTCTAGTTAATCAAATTCACGAACCACATAGTTGAGTTGACCAAACCGTGTGATTCATAAGTACGATGCCCGCGCTTTATCTTGTCATTGCTATCCCGACAGACAATCAAGAATTGCGGTTAATAAGATCCTTTTATAGCACTACATATAGTAAATTGCATACTCTCTTACTACAATACCAATTTGACTTATCTTCACAAAAGATCACTCGGTCTGCATGTTACCCGGGATGTAGATTGTTTTTGTTTTTGTTTAATTCATTTAATTCGGGATGTAGATTTATGTAAACCAAGCGGTAAAAGATGTCTAGCAAGTGCTCTGATATATTAATTAATACTAACCTTATGCTCTACCAGACCTTCTACTGCGGTGGAATAAATGAACTAGTGAAAGAATACTTCAGGTTAATTACTTATATCCTTTATAAATATAGATATAGATATAACTAGCAAGTACATAAGGTATCATCAAGCTCGCTGTAACCATTCAGCAACAAATGCGTGAATATCCAAATCCAGGCCTGCATCAAGTGATTATACAATCATGAACGGTCACTCGTTCAAATTAATTTACGACTATAAATATTCTAATTACGTGTACCGTATTAGACACTAGAATTTGATAGAATTACATGCAATAGACAAAAGGATCGATCACGTGAGCAAATATCTTCCTATACTCATCTTCCCTCCTCATGATACCCGCCGACGATCCCCGTGTACACAAAAGAACCGAGGCATTGAACATTTAGACTGAACATCCACTGGAGATCTTGGCATCTATCTTAATTTACGTACGTGCCAGAAACTTATTCCTTTCGTCACGAGCTTTATTTGAGGCTGCTAAAGATAAAATCGTGCGCCAGGTGAACTACACTTTTATGGGTTTCCTGCTTCCTCTCTTGGAAACAGCCCTTCCGGATGTATCGTATTCTCTAAATCTACATAATCCAGAAAGTCCAAGATACAGACAGCTTATAATATTTTTTATCTAAATATAAGCCGATATAATATGAGGCCCGGTAAACTCTATGGTGCCAATATCACCTGCGAGACTAAAGGTTTTGCAAGCTCCTGCGGGGCTTGCTGAAGGTCCATGGAATTATGTAATGACACAGGACAATGCGGAATGATCTGTAGGTTCTGGGTACAGAGCACGCCACAATGGAATTGATTTAGCAGAATGGACACAGGCTGTCATTTTAGGCCGAATCTTTCCTTAATGCACCTACGGTAGTGATGGACGGTAGCGACAAACATTTTAAGCCTCGCCACAAAGCTTAAGAGAAATTCCGTATAGCTTTTATCTATGTATCCTTCTCCCATGTTCCATCTGCCAACTTCCCTTCCCTCATCCCCATCCCTTGAAGCCTATATGTTTCTACCTTACCGGCACCTTCGTCCTCCTCGGGAAATCCAACTCTTCTCCTCAGTTTTGCAACCTCCTCTCTTACCCTTCCCGTCGTCTCGATTCTTAACTCCACAGCCTCTTTCCCGGTCTTTAGGTATTCTTTGTCGTCGCAGTATCGGTATTTGAGGTCATGCCACTTGCTTCTCAAATCTAAGAATCTAGAATCCGGGACAACCTCACCAACATGCAGAGTTACACCTTTCCCCACACGCGGAAGAAAACGCGGAAAGCCACGAGACTCGTGCATTATGTCGGAAAAGCCGGTAATGAACATGGGAACCAGCGAAGGTTGAATAGCGGGTTCCAGAAGCAGACGAGAAACGCCCCACCTAAAATATCGCATTTCATGTTTTGGGTTTTGGTGGACCTGTGGGAAGCATCAATATTTGGGGGGTAAAGACAGCTGGAGGATTAAAACTGACGCGGCCTTCGGGGAATATGTGCATCCAATGATGTTGAGGAGCATCGAGCAGAGAAATCGCCTCTGATATACTAGGCTGGAAGAGGCCTCCCCGAGGGTCTTTATGGAGACGAAAAGTTGGAAGTACTTGGCCAGCTGCAAAGAAGCTGCCCAATGCTCTGGGTATTTGAGTCATGATCAGTCACTCGATGTTGTTACAATGGCATTTTTGATTAGAAGACAGATGGATATCAGAAACAAAATTAAAAGGAATTAGAGACCATAAGTTCTGCTAACACTAGTCCAATTACCTCTACATTTGCGAACTGCGATCATGTAGGTACCCATATCCAAATGTAAAGGACGTATGCAGAATACAGAATACAGAATATTAAGAACTATAGGACTTACTTGTTCTTGAAGCAGATATCATGACTACCTAGCCCATATCTCAAATCCCGTGGCGAGAACATATATGAACAGGGCAAAAGCCCCCATATTAATGGATCATCCAGCCTATGAAACGCGCACAGCCAAATGGCCTCATGTATTCGTGACGTAAGTCCTCATATCAAATCGTTTTAGAGATCCGCGGTAAGCAGTACAGATACCTACACACTTAAATGGTTCGACACTTGTAAGCTGTCAGCACTAAAGACCACTTTTTCCCAATAAGACCATTCTATGGTCTAGAGAACAAACCTGTCAGCAGCCCCGCATTCCGCTCATTTCGCCTTGCTTTGAGTAACTCCAAAAATTTATCCATTCCGTCCACTTTAACGCGCTGTGTTCCGTAAAGAAATAAACGACTAAGAATTCCTGTGGTCGCCATTGCGGCAGTCGATGCAGCAGTACGCCATAACGAAACCGGAGATGCTTTGACTGTCATATTTATATGTGTGTAGGTACTCTTGGTTGTCCTTTTTCCTTGCCTTCTAGTTTTGAGATTTCTGTGTAACACTGGAGCCAACCTTCCCAAGCATCAAAGGCCGGGTAACGCGACGTATGTACCGGGTCAATGGCGAACCTGGGAAGATCATGCTGTCTCACCCGGATAGAATGACTCAGCTCTGCATTTCTCTCTCAAGCAAAACGGCTCTTATCCTGCATGTTAAGTTCCGTATCAAAAGCTCTAGGTCGGAGTTCATGATTCTGCTGGTTTGATTTTCTACATTTATACTTGCAAATGGTCTTTTGACTATTCGCCATTGAGCCAGTTCGCCATTGTACCTACAATATATCATACTGTAACATACCCTACATACAGTACTTTACGCGCATGGAATTTGAATTGCACATGCCACATATGAGAACTGCCAAGCACCCAAAAGTTCCTGAACCACACGTTAACCCAGCCTTTCCTCAGACCATGCTCTTGTAACTCCATAGTACACCTTCGTATCACCCCTTTATCATCGCTACCTTGAGTTCCTGAACTGTCTACCTCGCCTTTCCAAGAATGGAGAAATTCTCACAATTTCGTGATCGGGGTGAGTTGCCTTCCCCTTGTCAAGCTGTCAACGGGCGAGAGGTCGCTAAATCCCCATGAATAGGCACCCAAATTGCGCCCTTTCTGCCTATCAATGGCTCCAACTCCACCGTTCAGGGCGCCATAGGCTTGTTTCTATTCGCTTTCCGACTACCATTTTTTCTATGTCTGAGCATATCGTACTTCCTGGTATTCCAGTGGTTACCGATAGGGAGCTTTATCCGGAAGGCGTGGCTATGGAGCATACTGCTTTCATCGGGGGTGTGGTGGATTGATTTGCAAGTTGAAGGAGTCAGGAAGGGGTATTGTGTCCTCTTTCCCCCTTGCGCCTTAAAGACAAGATGGCTAATCAACAACCAAACTAGATCATTATTTAAAAAATCCAACAAGCTTCCCAGACCGAACACTGTAATTCTCTCATCCTTCAACTCTCCCCTTGACGCGATCTACCTCGCCGCCATTTTCGATCCAGTATTTACGGCCTCCTACCCCACTACTCGCAAAGTTGAACATATTTCCCTTTTTACAGCTATACTTCGGGCTTTCTCTAAACCTTGCCTCTCTCCTCCGAAAGGCGCAACACTTCACACCGTCGCATCCCTTCTGAAGTCGAATCCCACTCGAACGGTAGTTGTTTTCCCCGAAGCAACAACCACCAATGGCCGCGGTATCTTACGTTTCGCCCCATCACTTGACACGACTCCAGCGCAAATCGCCATATTCCCAATGTCACTTCGTTATACTCCCGCCGATGTGACTACGCCAATCCCGGAGACGTATTTCGCAACCATGTACAATCTCTTGAGCAGACCAACTCACTGTATACGTGTACGTATTGCAGAAGCAATTTACAACAAATTAGAGAAGGAAACACCAGACTACGGCCAACTCGAAGATTATCACTCGGAAGGCTCTGAAACAGACGAGGAAACAAGACTTTTGTCAAGCTCCTCTAGTGATACAGTGACGGATGAGAAATCACCCCTCGATGGCGGAGAGCAGCAAAGCAGGCTTTCCGAAAAGGGCGGCGAGGCGCTAGCAAGGATAAGCAGAAGCAAAAGGCTGAATTTGGGTGTAAAGGAAAAGATTTCATTCGTGGAGGCTTGGGGAAAAAATAAAAGGTGATTTTGAGAAGTATATCTTTAATGCGTATTTGTTGTTAGGCCTTTAGTTTTTAGGTTGAATATGGTTTCTTATGAATAATAATGCGATTCCCCTCCTCAAACTTTGTGTATAACTACTTTTCGAGATCAAACGCGCAAAACTGGTCTTTCGGTTTAATGTAACCCTATCATAACCCTTACCCACAATTTCAGGACACTTCAACAAGGGTTGATTCTATATCATGTGAACCCCAAAGGGATCATCCTCGGCAATCGGTGAAAACCGGGCACCGTCTAAAGATCCTAACAACCCTTATGAGGTACCACCACTCTAAGTGGGCTCTTCAAGAGATATGTAAGCAGAAGTGTCCCTATATAGACCCATCATCAATTCACAAACAATCTGACCTCTCCTACTCTCTTTGAAGCCTTCAAGGCCCCTCTGAGCGCTTTCGATTATAAGCCATGTAGTGTATTTCGCCCGACTCAATTCCCATATGATGGCATCAGACTAATGGGATTTGTCGAGGTGAGGACCAACCGGAAAGTAGGAAAGGATGATTTCAATGCTTGGATAGGGAAAGGGAGGTGTTGGCCGCGATTGTAGCTATGAACATTATCCTATGCCCATACATTATTTTCGATCATCCACGGCTGAATACAATTAATGAATGATCAACCAGTCAATCAATCAATCTCGATCATCCGCTTCGTCTGTTGTGAACGCGCCCATGAGGATAGTGGGATGGGCGCGTGTCTATTCAATCGTGAGAAGCGCCCTGCATGCCCTGAAGGGCCATAACGTGTTTCACCGGGAACGCAATCGTCACTGGGAAAGCAATCAAGCATGATATGAACGGGATCGCGAATTGTTGTGAAAATTCAAAATCACCTAGAATTACAGAACTAAATACACTAAAGTCATTTTGAGATATCTTTCGAATATTTCTGATGATTGTTACTAATAGGTAGCGAGTATATAGCTGTGGGAGGGTCATCAAGGCTTGATGACAGCTGATGACCCTCCCACAGCTATATACTATGATCATAATAAATAGTCAAAAACACCAAAAGAACTCTCCTATACATGTATGGCTTCATAGGTATTGTTTTGGTGCTCATAATGCCCTTCTGTGAGCTTCGGTTGCTTTCCCGGTGATGATCGCTTTCCCGGTGAAACGTTATATGCAAGAATGGAAACGGTCCCTCGCTGCTGTCACTCGCGTCTACACGCGGAGTGGGCTCGAGATGTGCAGGATGCCAAGCACGGCGGGAGCTAACGTACGGCTGTTGGAAGATCAGACATCTGGGTTGCAGTAGTAGAGCTAAGATTCGGACACCTCGGCGGGAGAAGGTTAGAGGGACTAGTAGCTCTGTGTAAGATGGTGGATATCGTGCACCTAGTACTTATAGGCTTGAAGCTAAACCTGATTACATGTGGGCCTTATATCATACATATGGGACGCATCTATAACGATGGATCTTGGCTATAATTAAGAGCCGGCAACATTAGAGTTGTTCGCTGGGAAACAGAATATGGATGGAGGGCTATGGCAATTGGATGTTGTCTTCTATTCTCCCCTTCTCGGAATTCTTGGCTGGTTGGACGGCCCCTCGAATTTTTTTTTTCGTACACGTGTGATCTGGAGTGCCGCCCCAATCTGCTCAAATCAATCAATTAATCCCGGCGGGTGTCAGTTCATGAATTATCACTCGTACGCGACGCCGAATGCTGATTGGTGGCCGACGCTAGTTAAAACGTTAGCTAGCTGGTCAGTAACTGATGTTGCCGGTAATAGAGCTTGGACATGTATAGATCTAGATGTACAAGCTGCGGTTTATTTCTCGGGTCTTTGGGTAGTGTTGCCCAGCGTGAAGAGATAGGATAGGCCCTGTAAGAAAAGGTGAGTACTAGAGACAGGCTATGCGTGCTATAGGCCGGACTATAACCTGGTATCAAAAAGACCTACGTACCCGCAAGACTTGGCTACCAAGACTCTAAATACGCACAACGATGTTAGCGGATAGATCTAGATAGCACCCAAGACTGGATATTTATTTCTCGGATACTTCAATATACTGGTACATGATATTTCTACTAGCCAGCCCCATATCCGGAAGTGACGAGATGGTAGCTCGACTATAGCAAAAGAGTAAGTTAATTTGGCCTTTGATCAGTATGGGCCAATAGTTTATGATTCGGAGGGAATTATGTATTTATGATCAAGGTGAATGAGTGACCCGGGATTGCGTGGCAAAAGGAGGGAAGGTGGTAGGCGAGAAAAGGACAGGTCACAGCTGAGAGACACAGTGGCCTCAGTTAGCTTAGTAGCTTTTACCTTCACCTATCTCTTTCTGTCTCTCTATTTGATCTTTTCTTTCCTAGTCATCATTATCACCACGACCATTTCTTCACCATCACCATCTCCCCGCCATCATCTTCATCTTCATAATCTTCAAGCAAAACACTTAGATTTCAGCTCTTGTCGTGGCCGAGCATGAGCCCTCTCACCTAATTTGCGTAGAGCTAAATCTATACTGAAGCCCTGCTCCGCTGTAAGGCGTGGGTGTTACGGTAAGTGTCTGTTCATGGAAAACATTCAATCATGAGTAGGTCAGAACACCAATTTCCGAACGGGCTGATTTACTATCCCGAGTTGTCATAGGTAGCAAAGAGCCCCCATACGCGCTGGGTGCAGCTGTCCGACAATATCCAGCTTCTTACCTGTGACCTCATATTGCGAAATTCGGACTGCTAAATAACTCCCCGGCCATACTATGAAGAGATCTTACTATAAACTACTAAAACACAGGCAATTTATATCATACAATCTCACTCGGCACTCACTCGACAACACTACACCACCTCCCGCCCACCTCCGCCCTCACCCCTCTGATATGCTCCCGCAATGCCGCCACCGCCCACCCCCTCTCCTCCCTGATTCCTTGCGGCGTGCCCTCCCCTGCTTGCACACACACCACCGTCTCCACACCTCTCCACGCCCGGTCCCACTCAACCTCCTCCCGCAGGGAATCATAGATCCCCGCCGGACAATCCGACACATCCAACCACTTTAGACATAGCAGCGACCTCGCAAACCGCCGCAGCACTCCCGCAGCACCGGGATGCCCCCACCCCGCAAGAGACAGATGTGTGATCGTCGGCACACACTGCCCCACAAACGTTATTAGGCGTGCCCACGACGCCTCCGACGCCGCCGGCCACGCAAGTGATATATGTGTCACTGCTGCAAACCGCGTGCGGCCCACCACCGCCGTATCTGCCGCCGCATCCCAGTCGTCGCTGACCGACGACGCCTCCACCGCCGTGACCCCTGGTTTTCCACCATGAAGGGGGCTGCGCAGGTCCTTAAATGTCAGACTAGGCCCAACCGCCCGCGAAAGATCAAGATGTGTAAAGTCCTCGTCATCGCCGTCACGGAACAGCAGGAGGAGATCATCGGCCTGAAGGGCGCCAGCGTTATGGGCGGCAATATACGACAATAGCAGCGCCTTGAGCCCCGGGCGGAGCGTATACAGGTAGTGCTGATCATACACTGTGTGAAAGCGCCAGTTCCTTGCGACCGCGACCAGCGCAGCATGTGCCAGCCGGTGGCGCCCAATCTGCGGTAAGTCTGGGAGGCGGTTTATGTCGCCGCCGACGCCGGCGCCCGCGCGGAATGCTGCCTCCTCTTCGTTCGATGTCTCTTCGGGCGCGGCGAGCCACGAGGCGGGTGGCGGCGGGCCGGGAATTCGATTACGGCGGCCTCGGACGCCAATTTGGGGGCGGGGGCGCGGGGGCGGTGGTGGTTCGGCGTTTGCGAGGATGAGTTGGAGGGAGGGGGGGACCGAAGGGATTGTGCTGATTTGGCGTCTAGGGGTGTCTGGGTTTGGTTGGGAGGTGCGGAGGTGTGCGAGTAGGCCGTTCACGCTCTGGTCTCTGGCGGCGGGGGTGGTGGAGACATTTTGGGATGATGAGGAGGAGGATGTGTGAGAGGTGTGGAGACTGGGTTGCGGCTTTAGGAACTTTGGAAGATGTTTCTTGGGCATAGAGTGAGAGAGGCGGGGGTAAGAGGGGAGTTGAGAGGGGGAAAGGGAGTTGGTGATGTTGTGATATCGATAGCTAGCTAAGTAATTAAGCTCTTCTCGATATCTCTGACTCTCTCTCACTGACTCACAGGGCTTATCCGTGGCTGAGAGATGACACCGCAGCCACAGTAGATAAACACCGCCGAATCACTGGGCATCACTCGATCTTGGCGGACATTAAACCAGCACCAGACGGCAGCTGAGTACTTGTGTGATGTAAATGGTATTTTTGTACAAGTCAATTTGTGACCGTAAGTTCACGATCCACAAATCTTATGTCTATGTAAGCTTTGGCGCCCTTTATCACCTGTCACGTTTCGTTCCAAGCAAAGAAAAAAAAGGGGGAGCGTTTTTCTGCTGAGCTGTGTATCGGCCCATCATGTCATGGTTCCTGTTGGGCTTTACCCCACGCCGCAATGGCTCGTCTCCTTTTTCCCCAACACTGTCCCAACCTACATGCATATCCCAACCCACTAGAGTATAAGTGAATACCATGTAGCTACCCACAAAAGCACCACTTCGTTACCTATCCTAATACTTACCTGAGTAGCTATGCAAGTTGTATGAATAACTGCGCACCTCGCTCGACTGTGCACGGTCTCCAATGGCCCGAGAAATCGTTCCAGCCGGCGTTCTCACCTCCTTTTTCCGACGCCGTGGCCCTGCCTACCCTCTTGTACTCCAAGTGAAGGTGGAGTGAGTATCCTTACCTACTACCGGGTACCCGGGGACCTCCCAACAAGAAGTCGTGGTGCATTGCAGTGCATCACTGCATATGTACTCTACTCTATTATGGATATTGGCAATTTACGTATGCATAAAGATTTCCCTCTGGTTCTTGCTCCTGATTGACATTAGGGATACGTATGTTCCCGCATATAACCCTATATACCGCGGAGAAGAGCGCAGTAGGGTAGGGCAGGGTAGGTTGGGGGGGGGGGGTATCTGGACACTCCACAAGTAGATGCACCTCCGATTGAATTGGCCTCAAAGTACCTCGGATCAATGAGATCCTAGGTATAGTACGTGTAGGTATGATATCTGGCTGGATACATGTCTGGTCTCTAGAGTAGGTAGAGCACCAAGACGCGTACACTTTTGCTTGGCGGCTGTATATCTGATGCGAACCCTTCGATATCGACAATATTGGCAAGGGGAGGAATTGAGTGATGTATACATACTATAGAAACAAGTGTACTCCACTCTGCTCTACTCTATCATATATTATGGTGGGGAAAAACCAAGGCACAGGCATTGAAATGTTTCGGTATAGTATCGTGGTTGTTTCTGCTCTAAGCGAATAAGTTGTGACTTTTTTTTGCATCGGTCCGGACCCCCGTGAAGGTACGTACCCCGTCCGCGTCACCACGTGAGAGAGAGTTAGAGATCAGAAGAACAGATTGAAACAAAATGAGTGGGTGGATGCTGCCGCTGTCCGATATCGCGGTCGGCCGGTCGATTGGTGTTGCAGATACAGTAGGTGGAGTAGGTATTGCTTATTCTCCAGAGGAGGGGTTTTGCACACAGCAGAATAGAGTTTGTCCAGATGAACAACACCCCACCACCACCTTCCCCCTCCTCTCATCGCTCCTCCCTCTGGCTGGCTGGCTGAATGGATGGATGGAAAGAAACAGAACCGGTGTGAAGTCTGAACTACACATGCCATGCAAGGAACCGAGCGACCTGCCTGCGCTGCCTTACCGTAGCCAGTGCAAGTAAGGTTTTTCTCGGGAAAAATAGGAAGTCCGGGACGATGCAAATAAAGTTATCAGATCATGCTGGCATGTCTTGGTCTCTTGGCGGGGGTGTTTTTTTGTTGGAAACTCCCCGCGGAAAGCCGGAGAATGGGATGGGATGGGGACTACAGTCGCTCACCTACTTACGGCGGATCCTGTTTGATGGTTGGCGTCCAAAATCTAATTCTTTTATTGGCCTCAAATCCCTAACCGCCATCAGACAGGATCCGCCTTCACCCCGTGAGTGACTGTAGCGGGGGTGGGTTTGATCTGATAGGTAGGAAGGCAGATTATCTTAAAGAATCTGGATTCTGTGGGATTTTTTTTCTTCCCTGGTGGGGGGTAACGGAGGCTGAGGGTTGGGTATCAGATCAGGTGAGATCATACTTACATGAAGATTTCCTTCTACTACTTTCTTTATTTTACCTGTTCGATACGGATCCGTGTTTGGGATGGGGGTGGGCGTTCAGGTTCAGGAAGGAAACGATATTCAAGCGTCCATTTCTAAGCTATTGATCATTTCGCCGTAATCTCACACATTCTTGGGTGCAATAATGCAGGGTCAGAGTCAGCCTACCTACTGTACAGTACTCTTGATAAGGATAAGAAAGCACTGGTGAGTGAGCCGACACGAGACGAGACGAGCCGAGAGGAGATGGAGAGAGTTATAAGCGTGAATAATGGAGCGAATAATTGCCAACCGAGTGTCCACAACAACCACTGAGTGACCCGGGGGGGAAAAGGGGGGGAGAAAAAAAAGACAAAGAAATGATGCGATGTGTATACGATGAGGAAATTTGTTTTTCCACGTCTTGAATTTTCGGAATTCAGCATGTAATATAGACATAGCAATTATATAGCCAGGATCAAATCTCGAATCCACATATCTATTATCTAGAGTGGTTTCGGGAGAGACTTTCTTGTTTGTCCTTGCAGGAGTGCTAGTGGAGAGATATCGAAACAAAAAGGGGGGTGGTGGTGTTTCTCCGGTTGAGGGTTTCTGATAAGCTCGGTAGGCTGTTTTTTTTTCCCCTTCCCTTCCTTACCTGATTGTGGAGGTGGCAACAAGAGGGAGGAGAGGATCAGCGCTAGAATAAAGAGACGCATCCATCCAATCCATGGCCCCTCGACCAGAGTTCCTGTCCTGAATTTCTATTAAAGTGTCCCATTACTTCCTTCCCGGCTTCTCTTTTTTCCTTCTTCTCTGTCTTCCATACATATACATACGATTTTTTCCCTCAACGACTTGCATATATACTATTATACCCCCCTGTGGTCGATACCTGATCGTTTCTATATCTATTATTCTCTTTGAGTTTGCACCAGTTTCATCGTCACTCAGATAACATACACAGTGTCGACGAAAATCAAAACACAACTATTCCGTCCGCTCAGTTGTGTCGCAGCCATGAGTAAGTGGTCTAATTAACTCCTTATGAGCCCTTTCCTAGACCCTACCCGCCTGCCCAGAAGAGAAGAAGCCCTTAATCTCTAGTTAGTGCCGTTGACGTTGAAATTCGCTCTACCGCTGTTCATACTGTTCCCGCTTGCTTGAACGTGACTAATTCTTTTTTCCCTCCCCCCACCAACCCACAGCCGATGTACTTTCTCCCCAAGTTTCCCACCATCACGTCCACCTCCCATCCTCACCCTCGCTTGCCCGACCTTCAATGGCGAATTCAAAGTATTCCAGTGGCACCATAACGGCCGTTCAAAAGTCCATCCCTGAGGAGCCCCACAATCTCCCGACAGCGTCCGTCGACGCCCCCTCGGTAAATGGCAAAGACGAAACGGACCTGCAGGTCGACAGCCTCATCAAGAAGATGAAGAGTCCCATCCTAGGAATTGACTTTACACGCTCGTCGAAGCCTCGCCGCCCGTCGTTTACGCTCGTCTCGGCGAAGGAGTCGCACGATCTGCTCAGTGATTCCTCTGCAACGAACCTTGCGAATGGTGGGTGCTGTGGTGGCGGGTGTTGCAGATTGCCTGGGAATCAGGTCACGGCCAGATCTGTACCGCTCTTGCGTCCAATGATTGCTACGCCGGATAACAGGGCGTTCAAGAGCCTCAATCTCAATCTTGCACCCCTCAGTTCGCGGGCCCGTTTGACTAGTACTACCGCACTCCCCCCACAAACAATCTCCCTGGCCCCCGTTGAGGCTCTACAGAACGGTGCTACCACCCCCAGTGCTGCTACTCCCGTTCACGAATCGACCGTGTACACCCATCCGCCCAAATTCGTCTCTCCGCATCCCCCGTACAGTGTTTTCTCGGCCAAGATTGATGGGACTCGCGAGTTGACTAAGCCTGGTGCCGAGAAGAGGACATACCATTTTGATCTTGACGTTACCGACTACCCGGAAGAGGCTCCCGGAGTTGATTTCCGTGTGGGTGGCGCAATCGGGATCTGTGCGCCCAACAACTTCGACACTGTTGATGAGATCTTTGACATGCTCGGTATCGACGCCGCGGAGCGAGATGCATCTGTCACCCTGCATACGCAAGGCGGCCGTTGGCCGACGATCTGGGGCCAGGAGGAAGAGAGATCCCTGGTAACAACCAGACGTGAGCTCTTGACCTGGACGGTCGATATCCAGTCGTACCCGCCGACGAAGAACATCCTCCGCCTGATGGCTGAGTATGCGACTGACGAGAACGAAAAGACAATTCTCCTCTACCTGTGCTCCAAGCAGGGGCAGGCCGCGTTCTGCGAGTGAGTTCCCCCCTGATTGGCCCACCCCTTTTTTTTTGTTGTGATTGATCTTTCTTATCAGATCCTTTGATTAACACTTTCGCTTAGGCTCCGGACCGGGCCCTACGTATCATTGATCCAACTGCTCAACGCCTTCCCGTCCTCGAAGCCTAACTTCGAGCACCTGCTATGCAATCTCAAGACGCTGATGCCGCGCTTCTACTCGCTCTCAAATGACCCGCATGAATCGCGTTTCGAGCACCGGCGTATCATAGAGATCGCCGTCTCCGTGCACGAGTCCCCCGAGAACTGGCGCGACGGTAACCGCACCGGTGTCGGCTCAGGTTTCTTTGAGCGCTGTGCACGCCGCATGCTTGACGGTGGCGAGACCGAGGTCCGTATCCCGATGTTCCGTGGACTCATGGCGAACCCGCTGGCGAAGGAGTTTGTCACCGATGGACCGATGCTCTTGATTGGTGCTGGTGTGGGCATTGCGCCGTTTAGAGGCTTCGTGCAGAGGAGACTGCAGAGCG